TTGGACATACCTAGTTATATTCATACTTTTATATAGTATATGATTATTTAAGGTGGTGTTTCTCTGTAGCTGTGTGTAGTCTTGAGAAGAGCAATCTGCTTGAAATGCCTCTTCTGCAGTGGAAGATCATCATGTAAGAGCCTTTTGTTGCACGGATTTTCTGTTCGACGACTAGACTGCAGCCCCGACATTCGTTTTTGCTAACAGCTGAGAAGCGTTAGTTCAGGACATGCTCCAGCACGCTCCTCTCTCCCTGCGTCTAGCAAGGTTTCATCCAGTTACTGATAGTACCGCCCATGTGTCTGGGAGACAATGCGGAGGGATTAAACACCCGATAATCCGCGGTCCTGTGGGTCTACAAATGTAAACATCTGTAATGCTCATCAGTTGTAGAATATGTGCAGTATGTGCTGTGGTTTAATTCTACATCTAAGCTCTCCTGTTTCGCTGCGCAGGCCACAAAAGCAGAACTCGCTGCATCGTCCTTGTAAAGCCACTGCTTCCTCTTTAAGAAACCACTGACATTTGAACTCCTTGAACATTGTTTGACTTCCCACTTTGATCTCGGTCCAAGTCAGCTGGAGAGCAGGTTAGTCATCCTCTCGTTGACATCACTGAGGATGTTTACCAACACTTTAACATGCCTCAGGACATTTTCACATACGTGCGTCTGACAATAGTGGGAAGAGTAATAAGAAACAGACATTATGTAGATCGATGCACTGTTTTTATGATTGTGTAACTCTTGTCTGCACACTGTATAATCGCCCAAATAAGCACCAAAGTAAAGGTTTTGATTTGACAGCTCTAAAGGAATTTAACACATTTAATGCTCAAACACAAATCTAAACCAGCCGATCAGTGTTTTCATCATAGCAATGACCTAAAGGCCTGCATGAAAAGGGAAAGGAAATAATTCTAATCTTATAAACACAGCCCTCAAGAGAAGTGTTTCACAATGAGGCTCTTTGCTGTTACCACTCTGACAGTGCCATTTTTAGCTGCATCAGTTTTTAGCAACACGAAGCAGTGGGCAGACAAAGTTAGTGACTAGTTGGTGAATATAATGGAAAATTTAGCAGCTAAAGACCCGCAGAAGACCAGAAACAGAGCTATAATGAGAGCAAACATGAACAGAATGTTAGACTGAGATCAGGAAAGAGGACCCAAACACAGGACATTCAGCCAGGATGCATAATCAGAAATACTGTGAATAAAAATTAAAGGCTGACAGAGAAGCAAACTATAACCAAAAGCTGCTGCAGATTCGTAAACCTAAATGACAAAATAGCATGCAACTCCCAGCGGGGTAGCCAAAAGGACAGTGAGGAGACGCTCAGGAAAGGATGACAGACAAACTGACAACTAACAAGTAGAATGGCAGGACTGTATATAGACAGAGAACTAATTGCCAAACAAGAGAGGACCACGCAATCAAAAAAACACAAAGTGACAGAGTAGGTCCACGCTTATTGACTCACAAACTTTGAGGCACGTTCTCGCCAGGCGCACGAGAGCTCTTGTGCTGACTTTTTAATGCTAATACGTGCCCTTTCTGAGCCCGCATATCTGAGCGACTGGTGGCTGTCTTCTCTTTCATTGCCGCATGGCATGAAAAAAACGTTTGACCTTACCTGCTGCTGGTAGACCATGATAAACAAGCAAGGACCCACTTAGCATACGTTGTCCCCACCAGTGGCTCAATAGTATACATGATTTTCTTTCCCTGAAAAGCATTTTTTTCCATCCGTTAATTGTGCCGATGAACACAATAGTATTTTCCGTCTTATATGTAAATTAAATCAAGTTTAATCTGCTGATTGGGATGTTTAGGACGGAATATTGATGAACAGCGCTTTCTTTCTTTTGAGAGCAGTGAAATATCGAAAGTCTTGGTGAACTAATGGTTTAAATTTTCCACCAAGATGGCTTCCTTAGTTTCTCCATCTTTGTGTATTCAGATATGTGTGTCGCTTGGTAGCACAGCATGAAAAGCTATGATCACGTTCGGCCAAACAACCATGAATAGGGGTGGATGGACAACGGGGTGCCTCTGAATGCAGAGTTGGTGGCTGGCTGCAGCCACGGGACAATGCCAGTACACATGTGTGGACCAAGCTGCCGCACTTCTGGAGCACACACACAAAACTATTGTCTTTGCCAACGGGCCGGACGCTTTTCACACACACACACTCATGCGCGCTCTTTTCTTCTTCTTCATCTTTTCACACAGACATCATTTTATTTCCAGTTTTCATTTTCTCATACGCACACACACACACACCCAGCGTACTTTGAAAACGTGCAGGACTGCATGAGAGGGTGGCGGCGGCGGCGGCGGCGGCGGCGGTGGGGGTGGAGGGGGGGGTGTTCATCCGACTCCAAGAGCCAGAGAGGTCACAGGAACAACACCCAATCCCAGAGCGGTTCCCATGGAGACAAGTGTGGCAGCGTACAATGAGGGTGAGAGCGAGTGATGAAAGAGAGGGAGAGAGGGAAAGGGCAGGGGAAGAGTAGGAGGAGGGTGAGTTGCTGGCGTCAAGGTTCAGTTGGTGGGTACTGGGGGGTAGTGGGGTGGGGGTTCGCTGGGGGGAATTGGGGAGGGGAGGGGGGTTCTGCTCAAAAGGACAGTGGGAAGTATGATGGTGCCGTAGCAAAACAGAACTAGAACATTCTTCCACCCCAACTGGCATTTCTCTGCCCTCGTGTTCCAGCTGAGAGCACACCTCCTGATCGCAGGCCGCAGAGTGGCTCACGGAGCGCGAACGGGGATATGTGGAATTTCCACTGACCATGACGTGCGCGGTCGAGAGCAACCAGAACGGAGAGAGTTGTTGTTGTTTTTCGGCATTTCGCACAGATCCGGATAAATTAGAAGTGATATCCAGCTGCAGGCCTCGATGGTGGGGGCTGTAGCGGTGGGGTTTTTTTGCTGAGGAGAGGAGGCCATTATCTGACTAAAAAAAAATGAGTCGTTTTTTTTGCAGGCCCAGATACGCCCGTTGACCTAGTAGACATGACCGGCTTCGTTGCTGATAGCGCTTGAACACTTATAGCTGAGGGCGTAGGCAGCCGAAGAGTGTCCCTGCCCCAGTTTCTGTGCCCGTCTACCTTTAGCACCTTTCTCTTTTATAGCGGCACTCCGCTGATTTTACACATTGCTTGACATGGCACAGACTACGCAGCCTATGTGAGTTTTATGTATTGTTGTTTTGAGCCCCCATGTAGCAGAAGACGTGAGGATCCTGTGGCCAGTTTACTGTGGTCATTTTGTAAATTTAATACATTTCAAATGTCATACAGTGTGCCCGTACAGTAGCCTACGAGAGCCCTCAAGGACTTCCAAAGCGTCGGTCATCGACAGACAGTGCAATGTGATGCCACCTCCACGTGAGATATCGACCAAAAACAGTGTCATCTAGCAACGTGCTGTGTTGGGCAGCCGAACACATTTACTTTGCACATATCAAGACACGGAATAGAATTGTGTATGCTGTGACAACCTTCTAGAGGTGTAAAATCTTCTCCCGTGGATTCTGGCTTTCCTTGATCGTATTGAATTCTGTCACTGATACTTGAAAGAAGTCTTGACGTGTGAAAGATGCTGACATTTGCCAGGCAGAGGGGATCTAGTCTTGCATATGCAGACCCACCTCCACATCAATGTGCCGGTGCTCGAGAATGATCTGGCCTCACTTCTTCATTTATTGTGGTGGAAAAAAGACTCTGATTTGTTTCTTCAAACCATTCACAAATATCTTGGGTTGTGCAGCGACAGTGTCCCTGCAAAATGTTGTCAGCGAGTCACGATAGGGAACACTGTTAAAATGACTAATTCACTGAAAAAGCAGCTGCCTGATTGCATGATCCAAATCTCTGACAAAACTTTCAGTAGGTCGTTGGTGGGTGGTTGTTCTTGTTGTTTCCCATGGCGAAGGGACGTTTACAAACTTGCAGACAGCAGAAGGAGAGGAGAAGGCAGTGTGAGAGGAAGTGGCAAACTCGCACCTGAAGTTTACATCGAATCAGGCTAGGGGTAACGTCATGAAAGATGTTGCATCATGGGACATGGTTTCTTTGGAGCAGTAGGGACTGTAAGTCAGCATATCTCAGCCTCTGCTACATCGATTTTGACCATTCTTTTTTTAGCACGTGTGTCGTAAGTCCCTAAACTTTATCGAAGTGCACTGCTAAATCACTGGAGTGCCCCTTTAATGCCTCCATTTTTCCCTCAACTCCACTTGTTTCACAGAGTGGCTCCCATCCGCCATTTGACTACCGACAGTTTGTCCTCTCCCTGTCTCACTTTTTTTTCTCGCCGTCTCTCGTGCTCGCTCTCCTCTCGCTCTCTCGCTGTCTGTCCGTCTGTCCTTGTGCCCAGGTTTTTTGAGTTGGCGTGGTTCCTGTTTGTTTTCAGCCATTTTGGGGACTTGCAGTGCTCGTAACAAACTGCTTAAATGGCGTCCTCTTGCTTGCTTGCTCTCCCACTCTGTCTCCCTCTGCCTCTCCCTCCCTCTCCCTATCGCTGGGGCTTTGTGTATATAAAGTAGTGTGTGTGTGCATGTGTGTGTGTGTGCATGTGTGTGTGTGTGTGTGTGTGTTAGAGAGAGGGAGAGAGGGAGCAACACTTCCAAATAAAAAGAAGATTGGATTCAGTGGGGGTAGGGGAGGAGGAGGGGGTCGGATTCACTTGCTGGAAAAAAAAAAAAAAAGAGCAAAAACACTAAGAATCGTGTGTCAGAGGCAGAAACTGAAGAGAGAGAGGAGAAAGAGAGCAAGAAAGGGGGGAGCGAGAGAGGGCGAGCGAGCAAGTTCGAGTGTGAGAATCGCTCCTGCCCTCTGTCTTCACACACTGCCGCCTGTATGTGTGTGTGTGTGGTAGTGTGCATGTGTGTGTGTGTGTGCGCCGCCTCTCCCTGTGCTCGCTCGCTCACTCTCTCTCTCCCTCTCTCTCTCTCTCTCACACACACTCAGACGTGCGCATACACAGACCAAGGGGGACAGAGAGAGAGAGAGAGAGAGAGAGAGAGAGAGTGAGAGAGAGAGAGGGAGAGAGGGAGTGTGAGGGGAGAGAACACATCGCAGCAGAGATGCAGCAGGAGGTTTTCCGAGGTACGTTCTCTTGTATGCTTGCCTTCCTGAGAGACAGACAGAGAGAATAAGAGGAAGAGAGGCTGAATTCTGTTGTTTTCCTGCTTGTTTTTTTTTTTTTTTTTTTTCCCTGCTTCACTCTCCGCTTGCTGTGGCGGTGATTGCTCTGCGCGTGAAGAGGAGGAAAAAGGTTTCTATTTTACTGTGCGTGTTTTGGGGCGTGAGTGTTGGCGAGCGTGTGTGTGTATTTATGCAGTGTGCGTTTGTGGAAGTGTATTTATGTGTGCCTGTGTGCTCGGTTCGTCTGCGTGCGTGCGTGTGTGTGTGTGCCAGTAACAGGCCTCGTCTCCCTCATCCTCCCCTCTGTCGCTGGCGCACCACGCAGTTCTTTTTCAAGAGCGATGACTCGTTTCGAGATTGTGATGAAACTTTTAATTTATAGAAACCTCTTGCGTCTCTGTGATTCACTGCAGATTTTTTTTTCTTCTTTTGGAGGTTGGAGGGGGGGGGAGGCGGCGGCAGACTGCACACATCAGAGCAGGTGTTAAACATGATTTGTTTTGGGGGGTCTTAACATGGTAGGCCAGTCTTCCAGCCCTGCCTAAGAAACTTAACTAACAACATTAGAGGCAGTGTTTTGGGAGGAAAAACTTGGATGCAGGCGATGGTAAATATCTCCAGTTCTGTCAACTCATTCTGTCTCTTATATTTGATTTTTGGGCCGCCCAGTTTGTCCTCCATTTTACCAGCTTGTTGTTTTGCTGGAGGTTCGTCTCACGTAGAGCAGCAGAGGGCATATTGATGTCCCCTAACCCTGTTGTTGCTGCCCTAAGCCTTACTTTTTTTTTTTTTTTTCTTTTTCCCCAAAACAACAGAGCATCTGCTGCCAACTACTCTGCATTCCTGGTTTCCATGGATGCCAAGCCAAGCCCCTGTGCTCAATGTATGGAAAATATGATCCACACTGCCACAGGGGTAGGGGTCATAGGTCAGACAATAGGAAGTGTGGCTTCTCGCTGCTCTGTGATGTCAAAATAGATGATGTTGTCATATACGCGGTGGCCTTTTAAATGATATGCCTTTGGGCCTTTTTCTGTTCTAGACGCAAAAGTGCTGTGATGTAGTTGTTGCCATTTTTGAGTTGGCTGCTGGCTGTGTTTACTATTTATTTATTTCTTTTTTTTTCAAATGCCACAAACATAAAGGATGTGGACGCGTTCAGGAAACCGATGTAGCACATTCTGCTCCTTTCCCCCAGCCAGACTTGTACCTTGCAGTTAATCGTAACTATTATAACATGCCGTTCTTGCACAGCCTTGCTAATGCATTAAAACATTTTCTTGGTTGTTTGAGACTCCAGTAGGGCTTTCACACCCCCTTCAGCAGGGAGTGCCCATGAAATTGAAAATGATTTTGGGGAAATTACCTCAAAAAGGTCACTGGTATAGCGCTGGCGCTCTCCAGGGGTGCTTTTTTTGGTCTTACTGTTTCCTAATGCCTCCAATGATTCTGTTGCAGTGAGCAGAATTATGGGAATTACGTGCTGGGCTGAGAGCTAACAGAGCATGGAGAGCACGGCGTTTCAGACATGGGCAGGCTTGCTAGTGCGTGGAGTGGCATTCGAAAACACCACGACTGAACAGTTTACACATGGGGTGGGAGCACGCAGTCAGTCACGCTGAGGGGGATCTGAAAGACAAGCAAACCATAAAATGTGAACATGGGATGAATGTGTTTGAAGTTATCCCTGCCTCCCCTGCTCACACCACCACAACTACCACAACCACTCCCCGACCCATACCAACTTCCCCTTACCTCCTCCCTCCTTCCCTCCCTCTGTCCCATCTGGCTGGCTCCATGCTCTCTTGGCCGGGGGGTTGTGAAGAGTTCAGTAGCTGTTCTTGCTAACGATGTCCCCCCCACCCACCCACACACAACCTCATGCACACACACACACACTTGTCTTTACAGACCAACTGCTGCTTCGATAGTTGGGCCCCTCTGGCTGCCCCTCACTGGGGAGAAAGCCCAACCAACACCTTCCTCTTCCCACATGCTCCTCGCCGCTGGCTCACCGGCTGGAACACCGAGGCCCCCCACATTCCACCTTGCAGGCACTCCCCTTAACCCCTCACGCATACAAATACACACACACACACACACACACCATGACAACATCATTCCTTTAAGTACTATTAACAATCAACAACTTGGATGCTGAGTAAAATGTTACTCCCTGAATACAGTGATGTTACTGAAAAAATAATGCAAAGATCTCAAATTAGAGACCAACTTCCTGGTTCAGCATCGACCCTCTGTACTTAAGGTGGTTGTGTACTCCGTCAGCTTACTGTAGCTTTGTGAAGACACAAGTTTTCTTTGCAATACTTCAACATCAACATTTTAGATGTATTCGCAGTCAGTTTCACCTCAGAATCAAGTGGTTTAGAGCGTCTCTTAACTGCTGGCCATTTAGAAGCTGTTTGATTATCTGGCGACCTGTATTCCTCTCACTGTAAAATTCTCAGCAGCTACTTTGTGTGATACAGAAACTGTATATAAAAGATAGATGTAGCCTCCAGGTGTGAAAAGGAAAGCCAGTGTGGAAGTGCCTTGAACCTTTATTATTTCTAACGGCCGGCAGGGAGAAGTTGTAAAGAAGTCAGATTGTACACAAGTCTATGACAAAAAGACCCTACTTCTCACTTGATTTATTAGTTTAGTAATCATTTTTCTAATGACTTTATGCTCACAGTTTATATCCTCAAGTTTCCTTTAATACATTATTATGGTTTGTTTGTTTTTTTAAAGTAAATTTTGGTTCCATTTTGAGTAAAATAGGCAATAAAGCAGCACATGGCTACCTTGGGATCGCTATTGCATTAAAAAAAAAACAAATACAACACTTGAGGCTTCAAAACAGTAGTACACAAACCGATGTGATGTCACTGTGGCTGCATCCACCATTCCTTGAATATACAGTTTATGGTTGAGTACAACGACAGCCGAAACTATTTTTAAAAAATTAAATGAAATCAAGTTGTAATCAAACAGAATAGTGGTGAGAAATGGCTAGACTGCTGGGATCAGGAGAGGTGACCTAGTTATCTTTGTTTTTAGCTCTACTGTGTTTTAGGAAATTTTAAGGAGGTTTAGGTTTAATGTAAGTGTTTAGAATATTTTAAATGCCACATTAAAACAGAGCTATAACTTTAGATTTCTTAGGATCAGACCTGATACAAGAGAAAGAGTTGAAACGGTTTGTCTTAGTTTCCTCTTTGAACAGCATAAAACTCGTGGTTTGATATTTGAGATTTTTTTTCTTAAGATGTGAGAAAAAAAAAATAAGTGTGGTTACCGAGCAGTTATTTGTCTATCTGCACAAGTACCAGTTTTAGCGAGGAATAAACAGATTGCTCAATGTCTGGTTCAAGGCCTTGAGCTTATGTACCAGCCAAACTCCTCTGCTGTCCTGCCTTATGTTATGCAAGGCCACTTTAACGGTGATGTTACTACTTACTCATTATCCGTTTAAATTCGGTAGATTATGAAGTAATGGCTTCCGTGGTCATCTGCGTTTTTCGGATGCTGACGGGAAAGTCGAATAGCAGAGCTTCATTTTTGAGTTAGGATTATTGATTAATAGTTAATTTGTTTGGACTGCTCTGCAATTTTGTGCTATTTACTAATGTTTTAAAAATATCCAGACGAAATTCTCAGAATCAAAAGCAGACAGTGTTTACTTTTTTCCTCACAGTTGTCATTTAATGTGGAATGGAATCAGTGCAGGCTGAGAGTATGCCTTTGTCCCCACAAGCCTCTGTTGCATATCATATGAAAGCTCGTGCATTTGGTACAATGTGCTTTATGTTTACATAAGTCTAGTTTGTAATTTGTGCTGCACCAGCTCAGCACCTGTTCATGCTATGCGGTTTTGTAGTGCCACAAGTGTAAATAGACGAACACTTCATAGGCCAACCAACATGTTTATTTGTGCCGAACATCCTGTTGCAGAAAGGTGTGGGAACAGGGTTGCTGTTTATTTTGATTTTGCTTTAGGGTCCTCATGGTCACATTTATATGTGCGTCTGTGAGTTGTGGAAAAGGATGTATACGTGCGGATGTGTGTGTCCGCTCATCTGCACAAATAACGGTTTATTTTTTGCATGCACTAGGGAAATTCAGCGCATTTGAAGCTCGCTAAAAATCCGTCTCGGAGTCAGACGGCGTGTCGTGCAGGCTCTGCTTGTACAGCGGCTGTGTGCGTCACAGGGAGATAAAGAAAAAAGAGCGAGGGGGCGTCATACGCATTTTCCTGTCCATGGCACAGGCATCAGATGAGATGGTGAAATTTTTAGCCTTAGCGCCGTCGCTCAATGTGTCCGCCCACTTGTAGCAGCCTGCCGCTTGCAATAAGGGATTTCCTGTGCAACATCTATCGCTCAGCAAATTTGAGTGACAATAAAGGCCTGCTTCGATTCATAGCAGGTGAAGCAGGATTGTTCCGTTTTAGACGTACATCTTGAATAGGCATGGTTTGGTTTATTGTGCCTGCACAACACAAAAGTATGGGCCACCGCTTGCTCCGTTAATACAAAAAAAACACCACTGTTTTTCTTTTGTTGACTACATCATTCCAGCTGCAGCCCAGTGTCAGGCTGTGTTGCACTCAGGTTCACCTTTTGGTTTTGAATATCATTTACAAGTGGGCCCTTCCATGTTGCCTGCAGGCTTGTAAGAGTGTATGTACAGTGCATGTATGTGAGTGTGTGTCAGCGTTTGCCTGGGTTCCTGTCTGTCTGACAGTGCAGTATGTCTGACTGTTCCTTTTTAAATGCACCCCCTCTCCTCACCCCCATCTCTTGTTCTCTTCCTAACCCTCACTCTCTTTCTCTTTTTTTTTCTGTCACCCCTTCACTCTCCCTCATCCTCACCCTCTTTCTCCTTCTCTCGCTCTCTCTCTCTCCCTCCTCTTCCCTCTGCAATAACAGTGCTGACCTAGTTTCTGCCTGTTCAGGGCTGCCTGTGGAATTTTACAGCGGCCTGCCTTCCTGGCTGCTTTGCTGCTCGAAATCGAAGGCAGAAAAGCATGACTGAGGATTTTTCTTCTCGTCGCATCATTATGGCCTTATACTGTCTCCGTTCTTCTCCCCAATCTGCAGACTTTAACAAAGAGACCCATTTTAAATGTGTGATAATAGCAAACTAACTATAGCATGTAAATCTCCGGCTTTCTTATGTATGGCAAATTGCAGCAGCTCTGCATCCGCCGCCATCGCAGCCGAATTAGAATGGAAATGAGAATAGGCTGTCGCTCATCTTCTACAGCTTAGCTGGGATTGTACCGGATGCAGAAGGCGGAAAAACACCATTTCTCTCTGCACATGCATGCAATCTCCTTCCCTTCTCCCTTCATTCCTTCCCCCCGCCTTCACAAATAAATGGTTAGAGTCTTGCCTGGCAAATACTCGCCACTGCCAGGAATGGCTAACAAGGCTCTTGCTCAAATAGCAAGAGAGCGGGACTATTTTTATGTGCGTTGAGGCAACGGATCTAAGTCAGCACTCTATTCTGAGGGAATCTTGATTAAATCTGAACGCCTTCCAATTAGGCATAGGGAATGTTGTGTCACAGCCGAGAGAGATGGATCTCCGGAATGCGTTTCTGAAAGCTTGGCTGTGGCACGCTGAAATCTAAACCAGCACTGCCGCAGATTCATTCCTTCCCCCTGCCCTCTCCCTCCTTTCGCTCACCATTCCTAGCTGAGCAGTTCAGTATTGCTGGAGCAATTTCTTTTCTTTGCTTTTTCTCATTAGCGTTCCTTCAGCATCATGATTGCTTTTTCAAAAGTTTTGGGTGTAATGTTATTTATTTACTTTATCTCCATATAAATGTACATTCACATTTAGCGTAGGATATTCATATTGTTAATACCCTCTCTCTGTTTTTCTTTTAGATTTCGGGGGCTGGTCATGGTGTCCAGTGAGAAGGTGTGGGACCCCCTCCAAGCGGGCCTTATTAAGCCACGTCTAAGTGAACAACGGCTGGCTCCTGGGCTACCTCCCTTCTGCAACCCCACACATAGTGCAGCTAAGGACAACACATTCTACAAAAGTCAGCGGTTGTCATCCTTGTCTTCCCTGCCACTGTCATTAGCGGCTCGAAACACCCTTCAACCACTTGGAGCCTCTTCACCGTTACATCCACGTGTCAATTTGTACAGCTCAAGCAAGATTGAAGGACTACACAAACCTGTCCACCGACTTGGTGTTCCCTCTCACTCCAGAGAAGAGGAGGAGAAAGGGGAAGCTGAGCAGTTGGAGATGAAGGGTAAAAGGCTGGGAGGCCGGGCAGAGGCCACAATGGAGGACAGGCTGGAGGATATGGGTGATGGACCTAAAAATGCAAAAATCACCCTTAGCTTCCCGCTAAGTGCAGCCCCCCTCCCAACCTCTCTGACGTCGCCAAACCACTGTCACAGCTCTGCTTCGTCCTCCCCTTCCCCCCACCGACGGCGACCGTCCTCCAAGAACTCGGACAAGGGGTCGCTGTGGAAACTGGATGCTACCATGGATGTAAAGCATAGACCTTTTAAGCCCCCCAGACACGACAGCTCTCCGTCCTCATCACCTTCCTCCTCCTCATCTCCTATGACTGCTCACGCACTTATTAGGAAGGATATAAAATCTCCACCTCCACTGAAGTGCTCCAAACTCAATTCAGAGACTCAGTTTCACAGGTCTCCCCCGAGATCCTCTAGTGGGTCTTTAGGGGGCTGTTATGGGGGAGATGGATGGGATGAGAGGCACAGGGTGGCCAACGGTACAGCCTCACCCTCTCAAACGGCCCAGATCCTCTTCAGTCTGGGCACGTCAGCCTTTCAGAGAGGTGGGGATGCAGAGAGGAGAGAGAAAATAACGGGACGACCAGCTGGGAAAGTGGGAAGCCCTCATGGACCAAGCCTTCACCCACCCACCCTGCATCTTCCTCCCCCCTTACCACCACCACCTCCTCCCCCTTCCGAGGGTCTGACTGCACCCCCTCACTCGTCATCCTATTCTCCTACTGACAGCCTGAAGCCCGAGCTGATTTGCGGGGTGTGCCATCGGCTTTTTAGCTCGGCTTCCTCCCTAACGGTCCACATGCGGCTGCATCGTGGCAGCCGCGCCCTCAGTTGCCGATATTGTGGCAAAGTCTTCATCCACAGCAAGAGACTGCAATCCCATGAGGCCTCCTGCAGGGTGCCAGGGCTGCCCTCTAACAGCCTGCGCCCTCCTTCTCTCACTGTGCAGCCAAAGGAGGAGCCGCTGGAGGAGGGCGAAGTGAGAGTGGAGGGGGGAGTGATTGTGGGAGAAACAGACATCAGTAAGGCGCGGCCGGGGAAGAAAGCGCGGAGCCTCCTGGCGCGTATCCAAGGTGATGATGCAGCAGGCGCAGAGCTACTGGCGGGTGATGAGAACCATTTTGTGAAGGTGGTAGATGGCAATGTCATTTACTTCTGCTCTGTGTGTGAGCGCTCCTACATGACTCTATCCAGCCTGAAGCGTCACTCTAATGTGCACTCATGGCGCCGCAAATATCCATGTCATTATTGCGACAAGGTCTTTGCCCTGGCTGAGTACCGCACAAAGCACGAGGTGTGGCACACAGGAGAGCGACGATACCAGTGCATCTTCTGCTGGGATGCCTTTGCCACCTACTACAATCTCAAAACACACCAGAAGACCATTCATGGGATTAATCCCAGCCTCATCTCCAGTGAAAAGACAGCTAACGGAGGTTATAAGCAGAAAGCCAATGCCCTCAAGCTGTACCGCCTTCTTCCCATGCGCTCCCAGAAGAGACCCTACAAGACCTACAGTGACAGTTTGCATAATGGCCTGTTATTGCCACCAACTGAAACATCTTCCCTCTCCCTGCCCGGCCTGGGCTGTGCTCTGGGCCCTGGGGACTTACAAAGCCTCATTGGTGGGGCCCACCCTCAGAGTGTAAAGCCTGACCCAGATGCCTTCCCTGACGGCTTCCCTGTTTCTGTGACTGCTGAGCACACGGACCTTTCTGCACTAACACCCCTCCCCCAGTCGGATGTGCCCCAAGTTAGAAAACACGAGAGTGAGGCCCTAGAGTCAGAGCAGGGGAGAGGTAGTGGCAGCTTCAAAATGTCTAATGGCAGCAAAACCAAAACTCTCAAGACGAGTAGAAATCCAGAAACGAGCATGCCTTCTGTGATAACATATGGCCATACAAAACCCTCCGTCATAGTTCATGGAACAGCAATGTCATCCTCTGTCATTGTGCATAGCAACCAGGTCATCCCTGGAAGTGAAAAAAGCCCAGTGAACAGCCCGCCCCCTGAAACCAGTAACAGTCAGACGTCACTGAAGGGCAGCCCTCGGCCTATCAAAAAGCAAAGGGATAGTATAGATAATCATCGAAAAAGATCACGAGACAGTTCAGATACCACAGAGGAGGGCTCAAGAAGCAGACAGGATGCAGAGACAAGCAGATTATTTCACAAATCACGCAAATCCCACAGCAAGAATGACATCTCTAACACAAAGCAGCTCTCAGGATCTGGAGGGTCACAGGTCAAAGAGGCAGGGCCACTGTGCCAGATTACTGTACGCATCGGCGAGGAGGCCATAGTGAAGCGCAGCATCTCTGAGACAGACCTTAGGAGAGACAAGAGCCTTTCTCCTCCCAAAACCAAACGGAGTGAAACGTCATCTGTGCGGGACACCAAGGAACAACGCCACTCTCACTCCCACCACCATCACCATAAACACCGCCTCCAAAGTAGAGCAAGCCTGGAAGCTGAGGGGGATAAGGAAGGAGAAAACTGTGAGGAGGAGGAGGAGGAGGAGGAGGAGGAGGTCAGAAAAAAGAGCTCTAAATCCCCCGATGAAGTTAGGGAGTACTACTTTCGTCGGGAGGTGCGTGAGCAGGACAGTGACCACGATATGGAGGATAATCTATGGCGACCTTACTACTCCTACAAGCCTAAGAGAAAGGCCCAAGCACATCTACAGAGGGTAAAGAGCTGGCAGAGGAAACTGAAATATAAGCGTTCCATCCGGCTGAAGAGGAGGGCAGAGAGACTGAAGAACCCTGCGAATAAAGAGACAGAGAAATCACAGGACGAAGACGAGGATAGGACAACTGAGGAGGCCGAACAACTGTCAAAAGCTAAGAGAAATGAGGGAGAAGTGAAAAAGAAAGGTTATCTCTCTGCCCCTTTAAAGGAGAAAAATAAAGATGCAGAACAGCAGGTTAAGGAGGCCCGTCATGAGGTTTCCACCCCTCCTCTTAACTCTCCAAAGTCTCCTCTGTCTACCTCAGTGGCTCCTACAGGAATAAAGAGGCGGCCTTGGACTAATGGGAATGCAGCAGAGTGTGGTACTTGTGGCCGCTGGTTCTCAAGCCCCAGGAAGCGAGACAAACACGAGCTGAGCCATCTGCTGGAGTTTGTTTGCCTCCTCTGTCGAGCCACTTTTCCCTCAAGGGATAAGTTGGAAGACCACCAGAGAGCCCAGCATCCCAAGCCTACAGAGACACCTGCTGTGCCCCCTAAAGTTGGTGAACAAGTTGAAGTCAAATCTGTGTCAGAGATCGCAAAGTATGATGAAGATAAGGGAGGACAAGCAGGCTTGGGAGGGAGCAATTGTAGTCCGACTCGCCTCAGCAGAAGAGCATTATCACGGCACACCTGCCCACAGTGTCACAAGGTATGCAAGACATCATCAGCACTAACTCGCCATATTCGACGCCACGAGTTAAGCAGTTCTCCAGAGAGAGAAAAGGAAGATAAAGACTCCGAGCCAAAAACTTTAGAGACAGTTGTTAACACTCTCAGCACAGACCTAGAAACTGAAAAAGGACAGGTTCCCAGTGCTCTCTCTGTTTCAGTCATTAGCTATTCAACGCCAGAGCCGCCCAGTAGCGGTGAGTGTTTGGCATCACAGCAGCATGAAGACCATCTCAGTGAACTCACAGATGAACATCAAATGTCTGAATCCGGTCACAAAGCCGAACTGAGAGAGCGCACGCTTTCAGCTCCAGACAGAGAGCACAGACCGCACATTGCAAACCCTTCATCAGAAAGCCCAATTAACCTTACCCCCACTAAACACGAATTCACGCCTGCCACGCCGTCTGCTCTCCAGAGTGTGCTAGTCATGAATGGGCCAGAATGTCTCGACTACCGTACCCCCAGCAAAAAGAACTTAGACAGCCAAATCCACAGAATACCCAGTCCTCTGCACATCGTGGCATCCACCAACAGCTCTCCAAATGTGTCCATGACATCACAGACCAGAATAACCACTGCTGCTCCTCTTGTTTCCATGACAACAACTCCCAGCTCTGAGGGGGGATTTATGAAACGGGATGGGGTCATTATGGACAGAGAGAGGCAAGGTGGGAGTGGCAGATTTATACACGCAGGTTACAGGGAACCACCTCGGGTCCAAGATCTGAGAGTCCAATCCATGTCCAGAAGTCCCTCTCCCAATGAAGCACAAGACCTGACCATGTCGTCTATACTAGCTAGAGAGAGGGAAATAGAGAGGCAGAGAGAGAAAGAGAGGGAGCTGGAGAGACAGAGAGAGCAGGAGAGGGAGAAAGAAATTGCAAAAGAAAGAGAGAAAGAGCTAGAGAGGGCCCAGCAAATCAGTAGAGTTCCTCACGCCCCAGAGGACCAGATTGTGCTCTTGGTTCCTAAAGAGGAGCCCTTGAGCCCTGTACCGTCTCCCCAACATATCCCCACTCAAACCACTATGAATGGACCCTCTTCACACAGGCACACTCCCAAGTCCCCCTGCCGGTCCCCCTCAACTATTGGACTGTTAGCTCAAGCCAACCGCCAGGTTCACTCCAGTCCACAAGGACTAGAAAGGCTCACGCTGCCCACTGGAGCAGCTGGTGCCGGCGACCGCCCCTCTGCCCACGCTCTGCTTCTGCCCCGAGCCCCACAGCCACCTGAGCCAGAGCACCAGGACAATGTTTCTTCCAGAGATTCCCAGCCAGGGGATGCCACTCCAGTGGGCTACTCTTCCCAGGATTACCCTCTACCCCTTATTGTGCCGGACACCTATCGCTCTGGTAAGAAGCAGGAGGAAAACCTGCTCATGTCCTCCTATCCCCCTGGAGCTCTTCCCTTTGGCCCACTGGGAAAAGTGATGGTCCCTAATGGCGGGGATCTGGCCAAGCTGCCGTTCTATTCGGATCCTTACCAGCTGTTCTATGGGCCCCAGCTCCTGGCCTACCCCTATAACTTGGCAGCACTTCCTGTGGCTCTGAATATGATGGCACCTGGGGGAGACAAGGTGGAGCCTCTGCCGTTCCTCCCTGCTATCTTCAACTACGCAGCTACTGCTGGGCCCTACATGGGTGCAGCCCCTCACCCCCTTGTGGCAAATCCCAGCCTTTACAGCAGCAGCAGCGGCAGCAGCAAAAAGCAACGAGACAGCAGCAGCAGCAAACCATAGAACACCGAACACTACAAGGAATATATTTCAAAGGGGACAGCCTCATCTGTTTAGGCTGGGAGTGGGAGGGGTGCGTGCTCACTGGGTCACTGAGTACTCTTGCACAGTACACCTGCCTCTCTTTTATTCAATACAGATCAGAGCTAGGCATTAAAGGAGTAGGTGTGAAGGGAGGAGAAGGAGCAAAGAAACAGGGAGGAGAGGCTGATATTATTGTGACGTATCATCACTCCCCTATCTTTACTCCTGCTCACCTTCCTCTGTGTCTCTCCTGTCTGCCTGTAGTGTGTTGTAGTTCTAGAGCTTGATTAATCTTCCTCTTTGACTCATTATATTATCTATAATATAAGAATAAGAACTGCTAACAGGGTGTGTGTTATGTGAAAAATTAGTTCAGTCTACTTCCCTTTATAGTCACCGCATAACGAGGATAAACGCTCTTCAGGGAAGGCATGTGTGGGAAAGGATAAGGGATGAGACAGAGGAGTCCATACGCGACACGTTCGGAGCATTAAGCAACTCAAACCTTGTGTATTTTTGTATGAACGAGTGAGAACACAGGAGAAGCCTGTTGTTAAACTGTCCATGAAAGTTATATATGAGCATGTACATGCACATGTATGTACGGATTTGTGCATGCAGAGTTGGGCTTAAGCAGGTATTACTGCATATGTGTGAAAGTGTGTGTGTCACTGTGTGTGTGTGCGAGAGCGATGGAATATGAATGACTAGATCATTCCGTGCGTATGAGGCGCACACAGCATTCCTACTCTATTTGGAATCGCTACTGTAGGTCAATGTGTAGAAGTGCATTTAGAAGTGATTCATCATATCCAAATCATTAAGAAGTTAAGCTATGGCTGGATGTTAGTGTATGACAATGACAGATCATCTGAGCTTCGAAAGTCTCAACAAGCCTTGTGAATTTGCGGCCAGATGACGCTGTAGGATCTGTAACCTGTATAGCATTCACCATAGTTTATACCTTATGTGCACAAAATAGAAAAGTAGTGGTCACTTAAAGGGGACACTTGTAGCTGCTTCGGAAATGTAGCTGGCCACTGGGTAAGAATTCAAGGCTGGTAGACCATTGCACTTCCGTTTTTCATCTCAATTCCTTCACGTTACAAAAAAAAAAAAAAAAAAAGAGAAAAAAAAGGAAAAGAATAAAAAACCAGTCAGCCTTCATCTTGTGTAGCTTTTTCCTCTTTGAGTGGAAGACGAAAAGGCTCTATTTCCTAAGCCAAGAAGAAGAAAGCAACAGCAAAGAAGGAAAAAAGAAAAATGGATTCAGGGTATTGTGTTATTTCTGGATAGGAAAGAGAAATATATGGGCACAAAACTGTTGGACTCTGAATCAGAGGGGCCCCCACAGAAATGACGCCGGGGCCTAAAAATGTTGTCCTGCTCCACAACTGAGAGGGAAATTGGAAAAAGTGTGAACTATTTCCCTTCCTGCCCTGTGTCATTTACCAAGAGGTTAGGAGAAAGGCTGAGCTTAGCAGCCAAAGCGGTGGCCGAAACTCTCCAGTCGCCCTCCTGGGGGGGCTTTTTTTTTTTTTTTTTTTTTTTTTGTTATGTGTAATGTTATCTCTATATGTTTGTTCTGTTTAAACTATGTTGTTGTTTATGTTGTTTAGCCCTCTTACCAGATGGAAGTGGCTTCAGTGAAAAAGAGGGAGTAAACTTAAAAATATGAATGTAAATTTAGTCATGAGGTTAATGAAGTACAGCTGCATTAATGATAGAGTTGGTTTCAGTTCCTTTTTTTTTTTTTTTTTTTTCTGTTTTGACACAAATAACCTGTTAAAGAACCGTATAACGTCTGGTATGCATATATACAGTAGTCCTAGGACCACGTCAGTAAACTTGGGTTCTGTATCCACAAACGCATGAGCAACACTTGCTTCCTAACCGTTTATATCCTCAGCAGATCTGGCATTGTGCACACAGCTTTTGTTTCTTTTTTTTTTTAATTTCATTTTCTGGCTTTTTAATCTCCTATGTCTCTGTTAATACTTTTTTTTTTTTTTTTTAAATGACTATCTTGGAAAAAAATCCATTTTTTTTTTTGCTGTCACATTTACACCTCACAGTCACTATCTCGGAGCTGTTTAATTCTCCCTCTCTCTCCCCCTCAAGCATACACTCGCTCGCTGCAGCTCTCCCGAACGAGACGCATACCTTTCATTGTGTGTGCATGCGTGTGATGGTACCGGGGCCGCCTTTTCGGTTTAGGCAGGAGTGTTAAAACACAAGTGTGACCGACTGCAGGGGGGGTGCACAGGCGTCCCCTTGGGTGTGGTTACAAGCCTTTTTTATTTTCTTTTTTTTGTGTGTGTGTGTGTTTGGTGTTTCGTGTATGAGAGTTGAGCGACTGTGTGAATAAGAAAACCAAAATAAATCTGCCTAAGCAGCATATCCCTTGGCAGTATATGGGCCACCTGTATTTTTTTTTTTGTTTGTTTTTTTGTTTTTGACACTTTTCTGTGGGTTAGTTTCAGTGTAATAAAGCCTTGCTGTCTCCAATACACTATCTCAAGCCATTCCTTGTAGATGGACATGTTTGTGTTTTTGGACCATTTCTTATGCCATAGTTTGCCATCATGGTTATCATACAGACCAAAAGCATGCAAAATCGACGTATTGTAGTGACTGGACTGGAATCTGGTGGTAATATACAACTATTTACTGTATGTTTTAGTTTAAATGAATGTGCCTCTGCTTTGATATTTAAATAATTATCTATAGTAAGATGTGGATCTGCCAGATTTCAACTGTTAAGATGCCTTGTTATGGCATAAGAAATTTGAATAGTAAACATTTTTCTTGAGAAACGACATTTATGATTTGGAGATAGATTTCATGGCTTTGTTTGCTATGAAGCTGTTCATAGACGTAGGAGTGTGGCTAAACTGTTTTGGTATCGTGTACATGTCTAGGGTAATACTGTGCCATATAGAGCCCACAAAAATATGTTAATGTTATTTTTAAAAGATGTTTTAATGTTGCCTGATGACTTTGTCTTTAGATTTGATACAAAGGCTTGTAGCCACAGCTCTCCCAAAGTCTGTAGTCTCCTTTCCCAACATCCTTCTTGTCTCTCTCTCTCTCTTTCTCTCTCTCTCTCTCTCTCTCTCTCCCCCCTCGTTTCCGTCTCCCTTTCTTTCTCTTTGCTGCAATCAAACAAAATAAAGTATTAACCTGATGACCCAATGAAATCAGCTCTAGTCTGGTCTTAAGTTTTGTTTTTAACCACTTAAACTAGAGTTCTTAATATGAACTAATAGTCTGTTGTTAATGTAGTGAATCATTCATTGATTTGGTTTGGACCAGCTGCCATACTAGTAAAATAGTGTACTTTCCAATATTGTTTGTTGGAAAAGTAAGATCGCTGTCACTGTGTTGAATCAGAATCAATTTATTTCAAGATTGACCATTAGTTTCTACATAGAACACCAATCAAAAGATAAATAAGAATTACAAACTGCAGGGAGCTGGCATCGCTCCAGCCTGCAGCATGAAAACAGAAAGCTGCATTTTTTATTTTTGTAAAAAGAAAGAAAAAAAAACCCAAAAAACAACGGGAAAAAAATGGGACAGTATTCCCACAATGACTCATATTTGTAATCATGTGAAATTATTGGGAAATATTCATTTTTTTTACCTTGTTATGTCTGTGTAGTGGTTGTAACAATCCAGTCAATGGCTGAATTACTCCAGAATTACAACGCATCAAGTGGTTTTAAAGCGTTTGAGCCGAGCCATAGGTGAGCTATGGTGGGTGGAAAGGGTCTTCATAGATCTGGACAATCTAGAGGAGGCAACAGCATAGAGTTACATCTATTAGAAGAAATTATTTTAATGATGTAAAGCTGTATTATACAGAGATGAGAATCCGTGTTGCTTCTTTTATTCTTGCTGCAATTTACATCCATCAATGTGCGTGCAGTGTCATCTTTTCTGTTTCCACTGATGAAGGGTTTTTTTTAATTTGGTTCTCTGGTGTCCTTTTTTTTTTTTTAAGCACAGATGTTTTTTTCTAAATTTATAAAAGTACACGATGTCTGGTGACTCGGTTGCTGAAATCTGAACCCGAGGCTGATTACAGCTTCCTCTTGGCACCTGATTTCTTTCCGTCGCCTAAAGTCCCACTAGTGACACTTAGTGGCTTAAACGGGAACAGTCGGTGACTCACTCCTTTCTGCACTCCCTAAAAATAGTGTCTGAGATTAATTTTGTCTGAACGTTAATGACGCTGAATGGATTCCTTGAAACTTTGTCGGGAAATCATTTGCATTTCTGGGAATGTTTGTGGTTTAAAGTCAACTAGCACAACAAAACAGCTGAGTACGTTTAACTCAGCAGATCCTTGTCGGAGCCAGAAAAATGGAGATGTGGCCGACGGCATTGATGGTGGTTCTGTTATATTCAAGTGTCCCAATTAGCTATTGCCGCAGGCCTGAATATACAACAGCCAGGATACAGAAGCAGCTAAATGGAATCAAGCCATCTTATCATTTATACCTGTCACCACCTGTGACAAGCCAAAATAAAATCTGCGTGAGTATGCTCTGGTGTGATTTCAGATCATCTCCAAATCCTCGACAATTCAACGACAGATTGTTTGTTGTTTCTTTCAGTATGCGAGTGTTGCACTTTTCCTAGTATTTCCCAGTTATCACAGCCTTCCTGGAAGGCGACTGTCCACGGGAAGACAGCCAGTAGAAGAGAAAAAACAAAGAATTGGAAACGCATCTCTTTCTCTCCCTTCACTTCACCACACACACACACACATGCATATGCTGACTCATGGCCAGCAGTGGTGAATCAAGGTTTCTGTGTAATGGGTAAACACGAATCGGTGGTCAGGCTAAGGTCGCTCACCCGGCCTGCAGTTGTGTCCACGCAAGATGAATCACCACGAAGGCGGGAGACCTGATGAAAAAGCTAACTTGAGATAACATTTTGTTTACCAGATCTGTAATTGTTTGCAATATTACAACAGACTGATATATTTCTGCCTTTTACTCCAAATCGTCTTCCCTCCATACTCGGTTTGGCCTGTTGCGCTCTGTGTTGGTTTCAGCCATTAACATTTCGGCAAACATCCTGTCAATCACAACCAATGAGTCACGAAGCACTCCCTCCCGGGGATCAATAAACTGGTCTGACCACGGCATATTTGCACTCTGGACGTCGGGGCGTTGTGCAAAACACCAACGCTCCACACATTACTGAAGAACATCTCCACTCCTCATTTCAGCACTGACTCCTCGGGGTAGCTTTGGGATCTATTGACCACCCAAGGGCTCTGGAGACGACTGCACGCTGGAAGGCCTGGGCGGGTGAATGCACTGAAGGATGAGCCTGGTTTGGAAAGTGATGGCGCTGCTCGTTTTGAGCCTCGCTCTGCTCACCTGTGGAGCTGAAGTGCAGGGGAACGGACAGGGTAAGGTATGTTCATGTGATGCGTGGAATGAACGGTGCATCGTGTGTCTATGTATGTGTGTTAAGAGTTCATTCTGTTCATCTAAGGAGTATGCATCTATTATCTGTAAACAATCCCGAAACAAATATGAGGATGAATGATCTGTGAGCTAAACAAAGTCTTTAACCCTATCAGGACTTTTGGGGTCTTTTGGACAACAGGCCATTTGGTTTAAGTGACAGGTATTGTTTTTTTTATTTTGAAGATTTTTTTTAATATAAAAAGAGGGACACTTGTCATGCATTTGGAACCAAAAATACGTCAACTCATCAGAAAACATAAAGTCTATAATGAATACCAACAAATATTTTGCACAGATTCTTTCTTGGGGTATGGCAATATCAAAGTCCTGAATGGGGTTAAATCTCAGCAGGAGCATAAATACTCTTTGTAACATGGATTGTTTCTGCTTAATATAAAATTAAAAATGTCCCACAGTGGAAATATCTGTCTCAAAATCTCATATTTTGCTAAAAGTGTCACTTTTTTTTTCTTAAAGGAAAACAAGCTCTGTATTAACTTCATGTTTTATAGGTTTTGAGTGCAGCATAAAAGCCTAGAAGTCATAATTCAACTCATGCTGTGCACAAATGCAAGTAGAAGCTGAGGGAGGGACATAATTTGTTCAGACTGAGGACTTTGCTCAGTTTGTGGACAAATACCCACAACAACAGCAAAGTTTGTTTCGGATTTATTTTATTTTTTTTCCCCCTTAGAAGGATTTAAAGTATATATTTTTTTTTAAACTTTTAAAACTATACATATATACACACACATTATATACAATGTGTGTATGTTGGGTTTTTGTGCTACAGTCAAATGTATTCATACCCTTCCATTAAAGAAAAGGCAAAATTCCCAATAGTCACTCAAATAACTAGAAACTGAAAAAAGTAATAATAAATAAAAATTTGCAAAATTATCATTTAGTGAAATAAAATATTAGTTTTGAATTTTGATTGAAAAGAATAATTTAAAAAAAACAAAAACCTGTCAACAGGTGCGGAAATATATGAATACATTTGCTGTATATTGAAGGACAACGGATGAATCTCGGGGAGGTCAAATTTCTATGTATGATTAAAGTGAGAGGAAAGAAGAAAAGCAAATTGCTGCTCGCTCTAATTCTCAATTTTAAATGAGATATTTCATCATTTGAACACTTATTGAAACTAAACCGTGTGAGAAGTTTCGACGCAAGTCCCGTTTTGGTGGAGGTGGTGATACCTTTACAGACATCTGAACTGCTCCACACCGGTTTTCATAAGACGTAAGAGGCAAAAAAGGTTGGAAACCATTGATTAAATGTTTATTCATGTTTGTAGGTTATTTTAAAAGCTTGTTATATTTGCCTTGCTATATGATATTGACAATATGAATCATGTAGAAGTAACTAAAGCTGTCAGTGGAGGAATTCTCTCTGAAATGTAGTTGATTGGAAATATAAAGGATCATAAAATGGAAATGCCAAGTAAAGTCCCTCAAATTTAAGTACAATACTGGTGTCAATGTACTCAGTTACACTGCTCATAGTTTAACGCCATGTCGTGCTCTTGTTAATGAATAGGATTGATTTTGCACTTCATTCCCACACTTCCCTTGTCACACAGTAATTATGTTTTAAAGTTGAATCAATAACTGAATTTGATTCATCCCTCACTTTCAACCTCTAATCAATCATCCGACTGAAAAATAAAAAAGGGTTCGATGAATGTTAAGTGTAGATTTTTAAAGAGCCGAAGTAATGATTTTGTGTTAAATGTGTAACTTATTAAGACCGTGTTTTCCAGAAACAAGTACCAGGAAGTTCAACCGTCCATCTCAGCCAGGACAGAGACATCTGGAGGCCACTGATCCACACAACAGTCAACCTCAGCGAGATCAACAGGTATGTGGGGGTTTTACCATGAAAATCTGTGGCCAAGTAGGAGAAAGAGGCGTCCTGCATTTATAAAACTTCAAACAGTAACCAAAAGCTGATGGAAATTCTGCAGAAGTCTTTTTGGAGAATATGTGAAAACTCGTGAGACGGTCGTCTTTATCTTCCATTAACCAGCTTTCCTTGGAAATAACTGTTTTCATTCCGCTTCGTGCAGCATCAAGTCGTCCTTTGAGTTACGGACATTTGACCCTGAAGGTGTCATTTTCTACGGAGACACCAAAAATGGGGTGGACTGGTTTGTTTTATCTCTGAAAGACGGCATCCCTCTGATGCAGATCAGCAGAGGAGACATACTCATTAGCGTGGCTGGTGGCCCCAAGCTCAACGATGGGAAATGGCACACGGTGAGTTTCTGGTGCAGTTCAGTGTCTTACATTTATGGTGAAGTTTTTTTAAATAAAAGAAATCTCAGAAAGCTATTTTGTCTGGGAAACAAGTTAAATTTCCCTCATTGCGTTACATTACATAATCATGTGGTTTTCTTGACACGCTGTATTATTTTGCCTCTTGTTCTCTTGGTGTCACCAAGCTGGAGGTGAGCAACCACGGGAAGTTTGTGATTCTGGAGGTGGACGGCTCTGAAGGAGTGACGGTGGGCATGAAGTCCCAACAGGCAGATGAGGTCATTTCAGGTGAACTTCGACTGGCCCTCGGTGGGATCCTGATCAGCAAGGAAAAGATGATAGTTCAGGTGCAGTGTGTTGATCCACTCTGAGGCGCTTTTATACTGTTCAGCATTCTTTATCCATCCTGTTCAGTCTAACAGGTTTGGGTTTCTTGTCTATACATTTGCAAGAATTCTTTTTTGATTGTATAATAAACATGAAGTGTTCTCACTATTATTTATTCTGCAGATTTCAGATGCGATCATGTTGCCTGCAGCTGAGTGACAAATAGTGTCATCTCCTCTGCTCGCTTTTCTTCTTGCACTTCATTATTTTAAGTGCATTGTTGTGTTCTTTGCTGTAGTTTGAGCCGCGAATGGATGGCTGTGTGCGGAAAGGCAGCTGGCTGAACATCAGCACCCCCTGGCAGTCGGAGGTTGAGGACCTCTGGCCTTGCTATCAGAACATCCGACCTGGCAGCTACTTTTCTGGCAAAGGATTTGCCATTTTCAACACCTCAGGTCAGAACATTGTGCTAAGTTACACAAAACATGGGAAGTAGTCCATTAAATGCCAAGCTTGGATGGATAATGCATGGCATGTAGGTAGCAATATTTATTTTACTTTTATTCTCAGTTTCTTTGTAAGGGCTCATTATTTTTGCTATAAACTGTTGCTAGCTTTACTCAGTCTCATCTCAACCAAACTGATTGAGGCAGATGGCCACCCTCCCTGAGCCTTGTGCTCCTGGAGATGTTTCTCTATTAAAGGGAATACTTCCAATAATTTTTTATTTAATTTCAAATGGAAATCACTTTGGGTCAACACCTTATTTTAAATATGCTGTACTTTACAAACAAGATATAAAATGTAGTGGTAGGACTACGAGTGACTTAATAAGTCCATGAAATGCAAAATCCATTAAATGTGACTTCTTTCCTTTTGCAGTTTTTCTAACTGAGGAAGATGATGGGATCAAGTTTGAATTGTGGAGCAATTTCACTCAGATGGACGGGACTATTTTGAGCATCAAGGCTCCTGAACAGGGGCTGATGTTCACTTTAGTAGCCAATAAGAACACAAAGGTAGGTATGCAGCTGTTTGGTGAATTCATAACTTACATGAGCATTTGATGCATGTAAAACCCCATTATACATACGAACAAAACATGCATGTAGACACAGACAGATTTGAAGACCACCAATGAGAGTTACAGTCTGTGTTTGCTATTTACAGGTGGTCACATTTACTCGCGGGAAAGAAAAAACCTATATGCGTAACACTTTGAGGAGACTGCTGATAAAGTTTAGCGAGGATTCACTGCTCCTGGTTATAGAGGAAAGTGAACTTGACAGCACCAGCACGACCATCATGCCAATGAACCACCCTGGGTATCTGACAACTTGGAGAAAGAGCCGTCTTACCGTTGGAGGTCTTTTGGGTGAGATTACACCGTGATGATGTGCATTATTCTTCAAAATTGTCTGTGTAGTCTCAAAATCTTTGTTAAGGTCCCATGTTATTGTTCTGAAAGAGTAGATAAGATGCATGGTGCAAATCCATATATTACACAAAGAGAGGATGACAACAGATAACACTGACACCAAAAGAAAAAATCCCTTAATTGATCAGGCCACTCAGTGTAATAATCCACACTGACTTGTGTTTTCTTCTTCACCTTTTTTTTTTTCACTCATCAGGTGAAGGTGAGGACAGTGTCGGCTCCCAGTTCTTGACAGGCTGCCTGGAGAAGATACAGATCCAAGGGAGGGATTTGGATCTGGATTTAGCTGTCAAACACATGTCTGTCTCCTCTCACAGCTGCCCTGCGTAGAACACGAAAGCATGCTGTACACGGACTAAATGTTTGCATTTATTCCAGTGCCAATGGGTCCAAATGACACAAAAACACAATGGATATAATGAGCTGAAATCCCTGCCACATGATAAGAAACAGTATATTTTCCTCTGCAGAGCATCACTCATTGTATTCTTCATTCTGTCTGCAGATGTAATGCTAGGACCAAATGACCTCTAAATCATTTACAATTAAAATCTGATGCTTTTAAATAAATGCTTTCACCACTTAACAATTTAGAACTCAATAAATCTGAAAAATGTGAGAAATTCTGTGACCTTGCAATATTGTGTTTCCAAAAACCGTATTGTTCTCCTTAAAGTGACTCTATAAGAACATTAATTTTACTGCAAAATGTATTCTAACGTGGTTTGAGGTGATGAAGTCCCTGCGACTGACTAGGAAGGGTAGAGGCTGAGTAGAGTTTGAGTAGGACAGAGGGTTTAGGACGTGGAATTTGCTCCCTCTAGTGGATTATTAAAAATGTTAAATTCATGCCATCCAGTCTTGTGTATGATGTCATCTAATTACCACAACACTAGATGTATTTAAATCAAAAGCATTACTTGCCATCTTTAAATGAGAAGAGAAAAATAGGAGCAAATTTTCCTCAAAAATTAGATAAACCATCAATACAGTTCTTTTCTTTGATGCATTTTTGGAGATTTTCATATTTGTGGGTGACTTTTAAATATTTTCATGTTCTTACGTGAACGATTAAAAGGTATTAGAATATAAGACAAATTGGAGACACGTGTATAATCTATTAATTGTCAATGTAGAAACCAGTGATCACGTGCAATGAAAACAAACGCATTTCTATGACGTCAGTGTATATTAAATAAGGATAAAGTGTCAAGAAATAAAAAAGTTTTAGGGCTGCGTGCAACATGCATGAGATTAAAGCCAGGAATCAAAACTTAACACAGATTTAAGCCAGAATTTGTTGTTGTTTTTTTTTTTTTTTAAAGAAAGGAAACACAGATTTAGGTCAAAAATAATGTTATTATTACACCTGAATGCTTCAGTTTCTATGTCGTTTAAAAATTAAAGTTGGATTTACTGTTTAGATTAGATTTAATTCAAAAGTCCGTGTAGATTGTCAGTCATTTAGGCCATGTGTTTCCGCAGATGTTCACTAAAATAACTGGACAAGAAATCCAGCTGCTGTTTTTTTGACTTATAAGATCTTATGATCATTGGATTCAAAACATTTCCATGATTAAAAAGCAGTGTTTAAATGTGTGCTATATTCTAAACGATTATAAACGAGGTGCGGCTACATTCTTGGTTGTATTGTGTGATCACTCTCTTCGTTCAATAAGTGTATGGATCGCAGACCGTAATCTACCGGCTGCCATAACGTTACTGTCGCAAAGCCCGACTGTCGTGAACGCTGGCCGCCCACTGAAGATGGCGGCGGAGCTGCATCCGCGGAGCGGAAAGCTGATCGGCCTGTCCAACTCGAACCGAACCGCCCGGCGCAACCAGCCTGTCCAGGAGTTTAACCACGGCCTGGTGCTCAGCAAGGAGCCGCTCAGGGACCGGGATGTCTTCACTGTCCGCATTGACAAGAAGGTAAACAACAGCAGGCCCGTTTCTGCTGCTGCTTCTCCCGAGCGGCTGTGAGAGCAGCGGGACTGCGGGAGCTGGAGGGACGAGCCGGGGGTCTGTGTGTGTCCGCAGTGAGGGGCTGCTGCTACCCAGGGCGGCTCGCACGGCTTGTCAGCGACCGCAGCCTTCGCAGTATTTTAGGCCTGTGTTAAATACAGTGTCAGAACCTTAGCAGGGGGTACGCGGGCTGGGCAAACACCTTCCTGCGGGTGGATGTGGTAAACGGATCACTTAGCCACCGATAACCCGCCTGTGTTGCCTGGGTACCGTCAGTTAGCCATGCTAATGAGCCGCTAGCAGCAGAAGGGGGAGGCTGACTGGGGCTAGCCTTTCTGCAAGGTGCTACTGGGGGTTTGTCGTGTGTTGACAAGGGCAGGGAATAGCTTATTGTATGACAGGAGCTCAATTACGCCAAATGCAGCTCAGCATAGTTCTGTTTTGAAGCGGTTTTCGGTGGCTGTCTGCCTGTATGTCAGTGTCTCCCGGTGGCTAATAATACTGCAGTGCTCACCACGCTGGGCTACCGAAGTGACTCAGGCTGTGTTTGAACACAAATGAGCGGTTACTGCTGTCTGTTGCTACTGTCATTAATAATGTGAAAAGTTTTGATGCTAAAGAACTGAGCTAGAGCTCTTTAACAGCCTTCGTAAACACTGAATGGTTGAACACAAAGCGTTTTCAGACCTGCAACGTTCAGGCAGCCCTGCTAGTGCAGTGCATGAGTCTGACCGCTTCCCTCTATTAGCCATCAATTACTGTCTGTAAACTATTTCTGTTCCATTGCTTGGATGTTTGCTTCCATTTAACTTGCTTGACACTTCATAAAAACAATATAGCAGGGGAAATCAAGTGAGCTTTCAGTTTCTTATGCAAGTGATTGGTCCAAATCCTATTATGATGGTGGTGATCCATTGAAAACATACATTTGCTTTTTGTTATACCAGTTGTGCCTTTCTTCTGGTAATTAGTGAAACCTTACAGAAATAGAGGTGTCTCATTCTAAAGTCCACTTTTTCTGTTAGATACACATTAAAAATATATCATAGTGTAAAATATCAACATGCATTTCCCCTAAATTATGTAAAACCTCCCAGATTACCAGAAGATGCAAGAAGAGCATGAATCCAAATTTTGAGCATATTAAATTTGTGTTTCCTAGAATTTGTTATTAAGTGGCTTGTGCTAAGCGACCCAGGTCTGTCATTATCACATCAGTGCCCGTGCACAGCCTTTTTTTCGGTTGTTATCAGCCCACCAAAGCTGCTCCGTTTGTAATGGCTTCAGCTTCTGCAGTGTGTCACCCAACTGGGCTTGTTGACATCATGGCAACTCGCGAACCTGTGCCAATGCCAACTGGGCCACACAGTTTAGATGACACTACGTCGGGCCAAGATGCATTGAGAGGGTTTTTTTCAGAAGCTCTGTGAGGCAGAAGCTGAGCTGAACATGTTCCAGTAAAGCTAAACATCTGGCTTAATGGCACCTGCTGGATGTAAATGATAATACAGCCGTTATGGCGCTCTCAGTCTGATAAGGGCCCTCATAAACAGCTTGTCATGACATGCATTGCCTGTCTGAAAATCAATACTTTTCCATCACAGAGGAGAGCACCCACTGGCATGACTGCAAATCCTGTCTACTGACGTGCACTAAGCTGCAGAGGAAGTTGGAAAATAAACACGAGAGTCAGACGTACAGTTCACCATGAGTAGGACACTGCAAGTGGTTTGAATCTAGAAGGATGAGCCTGTGGTTTCTGAAAGATCCAGCTTTGTCGTGTTTTTGGACTTGTTGATTTATTCACAGGGAGCATGAAAACAATCTGTGGATTTTACACTAATATGTACACATGCGAGTATACTGAATATCTTTAGGTTTTGGACAGTTAGGTGGAGAAATAGAAATAAATAAGCTGTTCTTAACACATCTCTTTGCACTGCCACAAAAGTAACACTATAGGGAGTGTCGTGATATACTGAGGATTACCATTATATTTAAAGAGGAAATCTTGATATTATGGTACTAAAACACAGATAGTAAATAATCCATCAATAGCAGCTGGTTAATCTGGATCATAACTTGATAATCTGGTTGACACTTCAACAACGGATCAATATATACCATGGTTACGGTTACAGACACTCTATGGATCTCCCTGCATTCGTAGAACCAAAGCACAAATTAAAGCATTAATATTTCCAATTAATACTTAAATAAAATATTGTTGTTGTGAAATATCTTAGGCACAGTGATCGTGTAGTGAAAATCTGATATTGTAACATTCCTAAGGATCAAAGAATGTGTTACCAGAGGAGAACAATAAGTCAAGCCTAGCGAGTTTTATCAAAAAAGAAAAAATAATACATTTCCAAGTATGCCCCTTTATTTCTTAAAATCATGCTGATATTTTAAGTAATTGTAAATACTTTTTTCCTGTGTAGAGAAATTTTTTGTCACCTTCCTCAAAGGTTTTAATCACCACTAGAGCAAAAATGATAACAACTGAGAAAGAAAATAGCAGTATCACTTTTAATCAGTTTTACTCAAGCATCATTTTAAATTTCTTTTTTATCAAATGATCAGAAATGCTTAGATTTCTGTCGACACAAAGTCGTTGCCTTTACTATACATGGACTATTTGTTCTCATTATCATGTGTAGTCACCCCTCAAAGGCCCATTCTGAGCCAGGCAGAGCTCATTTCTCCCTTTGTGAAGTTTTCCCTGCTTCCTAAAGTCCCTGCAATGCTTCTTGCGGCTTTCGAATCTATCATGCAATTAATTTTTCATTATTTTAAAAGCTGCCCAGTGATCCCTCTCGGCATGTTGCATGCTGTAGCCGTCGGTAAAAAGACAGAGAGAGAGAGAGAGAGAGACTGAGAGGCAGACGCCCACAGGCTGTTGTTACATAAGTGTGCGAGTGAGGGAAGGAGATGTCTGTCTTCTCCATACAGCGACCCGGTCAAGCTGAGCTACTGCTAAATCTGTTAACCCAGATACCCGGGCTGTCGTAGCACACTGCCTTACATAGCACCTGTCACGAGAAGAACAGGAAGAGGGGAAGGAGGAGGCAATGTTGTAAAAATGATATTGATCCCAGAGAAAGTTTTCGTCAATGTTACAGTCAAGGTCATTTTATGAGCATGGATTTCTACTAACTAAGTCCTATGGCATACCAAGGACAAAAAAGATAAAGGGAGACTGACCATAAAGCTTATCTAAGGCCTTCGTCCTGAGGAAAAACAACATTGTTTTTTTTGTTTTTCTCCTTGAGCAGGAGGTGGAATGCAGTGACTCCTACTGTGACACAGGTTCATGGCCCTGCTGCAAGCATCTGCTGTATTGAAGTGTCTTTAAGCATGACTCTGAACCTCCACCAGCTCCACTGCCTCTGTCGCTGACACTGCAGTCTCCCATCTACATCCCAGATGCAAAACAAAAATGAAAAACTAGAATTTACCCCAGGAGATCAATAGAGTATTGGATTATTGTCAGCTTATGGTGAACTTTGTGTGTCTGGGAGGAAATGGATATCTTAGGCTGCTTGTTAGGTGATATGAGTCCAATGTCATGCAAAGACACACAGGGGGTTTTGTGATAGAACATTTGGGTGACACACTGTGAAACACTGTCTTTGGGATTTTTAGTGGAAGGTAGGATCATTTACGTAAAGCTTGCCTGCTTGCGTAAAGATTTAATCATACCACCTAGACAACATAGACGTTTGTGTTTTCATGTGTTTTCTAGCATGGTGCAGTGCTAAAATAGAATATGCTGGTATTTGCTATAGCATTTTCTAGTGCAGAAATAAAGAGAGCCTTCACTATAAAACATACTTCAATTTTGTGTAGTAAAATATTGTTCCCGATCAAGCGACACACGTCACAAAACACATCATGGCAATAACAAGACAAGTGAAACAGGATATTAGCGCTGCACTAAAAGCTACAAAAAAAACAATGTGAAAGAGTAATCTTCCCTTTGGATTTACATGTAATAAGTAGCCAGAGGTGGGACGGATGAGAATACATGTACTATCAGCTCCCATCAGATATCTTCAAATGTCGGCCACTTAAACGACAAAACTGATGTGTCCTGCTCCTCTCCATCCTTATCAGTGGTGAATCCCAGCGACCACCTTCTGTCATAAACACAGACTACATCGCACAAGTGACCTTCATTTAATGATATCTGTTGGAGGCCAACCGTGCATTGAAATGGCTTTTGATAATTTCCTTTCAGCGGATAAATAAAATGTACAGAACTCAGTTTTGGTCCCCAAACAACAAATAAGTAAACTGTGAACAAAATCTGAGCTGGTGCACCAGTACCTAAACCTGAAATAGCACAGACTCAGTTAATCAGTTGATTGTGATGTCAGCAGAATTTAATACGCTGAATCTTACCTTGTGCTTAATCTAAATATAGAACAGGATGTGTACACAACTACCTTTCTGCATGAATATGTTTTTACCATCCAGTTTTAGATGCTGATCTTACAATACTGTTGGGCACAGCACTAGTGCTTTACTCTGTAAGGAGTGTCACTAAAAAGTAGATAATTTTTTCAAAGGGAACTTCAAGTTTATGTCGATTTCTGCTCACTGCTAAACATGCTGTCTGCTGCTGCTGCAGTAGCTGTAATAAAACTCATACATTTTGCTGTGTGTTCACACTGTCCTGCTTTGTTTTCAAAGGAGTGCTCCCTGAGCTACGTTCTTCACTGACAGAATGACTAAAAATAACAAGATGGATCATACAACAAGACACCCTTTGTTTTCCATAGATATCGACTTGCAGTTTTTAGCACAGAGCTTCACTCTTTTAACAGTAACTCCCACAACACAGCTTTGCTGTCTCCACACTGGGTCTTTTTATGATCAAAATAACTGCTGCTTGACAGCTGTTTTGCTACTACCTTTTCCCTCTAGATGCATTGTTGTTGCCGGACACAACTTCTCGTTCTGCTAACTTGTGAAGGACCATGCTGTTTCTGTTTTTATATATATATTACAGAGAATTAATACATTTTCTCAATAAGTAGTAAACAAATGGTTCAGTATTAGGTGTAGCCATAAACCTTTCCTCTTTCCCTTCAGGTGAATTCGTGGAGCGGTTCCATTGAAATTGGCGTGACAGCACTGGACCCCGCAGCGCTGGACTTCCCCAGCAGCGCCACAGGCCTTAAGGGCGGCTCCTGGATCGTATCGGGCTGCTCGGTGCTCCGTGATGGCCGCTCTGTCCTGGAGGAGTATGGCCGCGACCTCGACCAGCTAGCTGAGGGCGACCGTGTAGGCATTCAGCGCAGCTCCCATGGGGAGCTCCACCTCTGGGTCAACGGGCAGGACTGTGGTGCGGCTGCCAGCGGCTTGCCACCCAAGCTGTGGGCAGTTGTGGATTTGTATGGCAAGTGCACTCAAGTAACGGTGGTGAGCTGTGAGCCGCCACCGCCCTCCGCAGAGAGAGAGAGAGAGACAATAGAGCGGGACGAGGAGGAGGAAGATGAGGAGGATGAGGAGGAAGAAGTGGTAGTGTGCGGGGGTCGGGAGGACGTGGGAATTGCGGCACTGATGAATGTGGCAGCAATGAATGGAATGATGAACGGAGATGAAGGTAGGGAGCCTTTTTTATCCATGTGGTTCTTTTTTAACTCTATATGTTGTATTGTTCTCATTTGTCATGTCCCCTTCACTCTTTCCTCTGCCAGTGCCTGAGCTTAGCTGCAGTCACAGCCGACCAGACAAGTTCCCCAACAACCTGGAGCCTGACACTGGTAAGAACATTCTCCTCAGATCACATACTTTGCCACATGACCAGCACTGACAGCTGTTCTCTTCCTGTCTTCCTTCAGTTCTGACAGAGCACCAGCTTTTTGACGTGTTCAACAACGCAATAGTTTCCTTTTATCGCTCTGAAGATGAGGGCGGAGGGGAAGATGGCGGAGGTGGAGGTGGCGGAGGAACTGGAGGAGGCAGTGGCGGAGGGGGAAATGCATTACCCGACTCCTCCTCCAGAAACGAGAGAGGGAGCAGCAGCAGCGGAGGAGGTGCAGTTAACAGTGACAGTGGAACTGGGACAACAGGAGGAAGTGGAGGAGGAGGAGGAGGAGGTAGTAGTGGTGGTGGAGACAGTGGAAATGCTAATAACGGTCCTGCTGGTAATGGAGGGGTGGGGCCAGGAGCCTTGACAGGTGGGATGACCACCAATGATGCACTGCTGTTCCACGAGAAGTGTGGCACTCTGATCAAACTGAGCAACAACAACAAGACGGCGGAGCGAAGGAGACCGCTGGATGAGTTTAACAACGGCGTAGTGATGACCAACCGGCCGCTCCGACACAATGAGATGTTTGAGGTGTTTACATCACACAACTCAATGCTGCTATTACACTTAATGTTTGAATGATGACATACAGATTGATGATATTTTGGGCACACAAGCACAGCGTAAGGTCGCACAGAGAACTCCATCTAGAATAAAAATCAAGATGCAGCAATATCAGAAGAGATCAAATCTGTTTCTTCTGTGTTATCAGATCCGCATTGATAAGCTGGTGGACAAATGGTCAGGCTCGATAGAAATCGGCGTGACCACACACAACCCTAACAACTTGGATTATCCTGCAACTATGACTAATCTGCGCTCAGGTAACACACCTAATGACACAGAGATCTGTAGTAGACAAAACTGAAGATTCTCATCGTGTTTATTATGAAATTTCATTGTTTTCATCAGGTACAATCATGATGAGTGGCTGCGGGATATTAACCAACGGGAAAGGAACCCGCAGGGAATACTGTGAATTCAGCCTTGATGAACTTCAGGTTGGTGGTAACACGTGAAGAGACACACACTTCATTTCATTTTTATCTTGTATTGTGCCTGTAAATCTGTCGTTTCATTCTCCATCATCTGTGCTCGTCCACTTTTAGGAGGGAGATCACATAGGGTTGATGCGCAAAGCCAGTGGAGCACTCCATTTCTACATCAATGGCATCGATCAAGGTGAGACATATCAAGAGCCTTAATGAGGGGAAAGGAAGCCCGGTTTTTGGCTGTAAGCGCTCCGTTGCAGTGGGACGATAGGGATTGTACACGTTGAAGGGTGGGACCAAGTGAAAAAGGAATATTTTGTTTTGTTTTTGGGTCTTCAGTATGCCACTTTTAGTATTTTCCTGTGATCACGAGATGTTTTTATTATTCACTATTAGCTTACTTATTGTCAAAACTTTACAATTTCATAGCCATTCCTCCCTGTGGCTCCACCATCAGAAGCTGCTTTTGATGGTGATCAGAGGCGGCTGTAAAGGGACCGCACCAGTTATCCGTCTTACAGGGTCCTGGCTTCAAATATCACATCCAGAACTTCATTATTTCTAAAAGAACATGATCCTCCTGTCTAAAATGAGCACCACACATGATCATTTTTCCTTACAGATGCAGCAGTGAAGTCTGGCATCAACACTAGCTGCATTCTTTAAAAAAATAGAGTAAAAAAAGTTAGGAGATGTCCAGACAGGCTGAAGTTTGCAACCTGCACAAACACAAAAGAAAATCCCAATCTTCTGCCTTTAAGTTCAAATGATCAGTTCCCTGAATGAAAAACACAACCTGCAAGCTGCTCTTTAAGGTGCAATTGAAGATGTTTTACCTTTTAGACTTACAGTCAGTTCATAAAAGCACAAGTTGGACAAGAAATACTGTAACTTTAAAGGATACGGATGTGATTTAAGTACCTCAGCTTCCACTGCTGCTAACAGCTTTGTGGCTTTCCTAGGTGTTGCAGCAGCCCAGACCCCCGGCGTGGTCTACGGCGTGGTCGACCTCTACGGCATGGCTGTCAAGGTCACCATAGTCCACAACCACAACCACAGCGACCGCCTCAGACGCAACAATGCAATCATGAGGGCTCTGTCCCCCGACGTTGGCCGACCCCGGCCGGCCCTCTCCCTCACTCCAGACTCTGACGGGCCTGACCGCCTGCTCTTTCACCCCAACTGTGGCCAGAAGGCCGCCATCATCAGCGATGGCAGGACGGCGCTGCGGCCACAGTGAGTCCATCTGCTCTTTTAATGGTCTTTGTCCTTAAATTATTTACACTCAGTCTCACTCTGTACATGCTTAATTTTGACTTATAAATCTGACCTAGGAGTTATTCCTGTTTCCTGCTTATACTTTAAACTTTCTATATATATATTGTCCCATCCCATTTAGCCTTAAATAATTCAAAACTCCTATAAAAGGTCTCAAAAGGAATGGCACTGATAAAATCAACTTGTTCCTGTGATCTATTTGCCCTAAATAGGCAATGCAAGTGTAGAAGAAAAGTTTGTGATGTGTAGAAATCCTGTAATCGCACCATTTTAAACACAAAACAGTGATACACTCATAAGGTACTAATGCTGTTTCTATAGTGCCACTGATGACTTCAACCACGGCGTGGTCCTGAGCAGCCGGCCGCTACGCTCCAACGAGGTGTTCCAGGTTCGCATTGACAAGATGGTGGACAAGTGGGCGGGTTCCATAGAAATTGGTGTCACAACGCACAACCCCGCCTACCTGCAGCTGCCCTCCACCATGACAAACTTGCGCTCAGGTAAAAAAAAAAACAGCTTTGTAAGTTCGATCATTTCCTTTTCCAGAATTCCTAATCAATACTGGGTGATGGTTTTTGCAGGGACTTGGATGATGACAGGGAATGGTGTGATGCACAACGGCACAACAATACTGGATGAGTACGGACACAACCTGGATCGACTCAAAGTAAGTGCTTTTTATTGCCTAGCTTCCCTATCAGTGTTTGCTCTGTAATTTTATTTATTAACCCATTTTCCTCTTGCCCGCAGGCAGGAGACACAGTTGGTGTGGTGCGGAAAGAAGATGGCAGCCTCCATTTCTTTGTGAACGGTGTAGCGCAGGGCCCGGCAGCCTGGAATGTCCCCCCGAGTGTCTATGCTGTAGTCGACCTCTACGGCCAGGCAGCTCAGGCCACCATCATGGACGACATGGGTGAGAGCGGGAGGAGGACAAACAGGGTAGCAGTGAGGGTAATAATGTACCTGAGCACACTAATCCTCTCCCTTCTTGTGCATTTCCCTTTCTCAGTGGACCTTCCCCCTCTTCCAGAGGACAGCACAGAGGGCCCCACAGCCATTTCCCCTGGGAGCCCCTGCTCAGTAGCAGGGGCCACCACAACCACTGACCTGCGTTTTCACCAGCTACACGGCACCAATGCTGTCATCACCAATGGTGGGCGCACCGCCCTGCGTCAGAACTGTCGCAGCGAGTTCAACGACGCTATTGTCATTTCCAACAGGTGAAACGAGTGGTTCTAAAGTTACTTTGAGTGTTTGGAATCCAACCATGGATGATAAAACATAATAATTGACACACTGATTGTGCTGGGAAACTCTCTTCACACTACATTTGGTCTTTTTTTTTGTCATGTCAGCCAACACATTGGAAGAGGAACATTTCACACCATTATACTGTGTTTTTTCATACATCCAACTCAATAGCAGCTTTTAGCAAATTTCAGGGTTTTGTGACAAGTAGTTCAGAGTTATCAATGCTGCACTTTTTCCTTCAGTTACCTGCAGAAAGTATTTTTAACACAACTGTGTCACAGATTGACTACAACCCATTTCAAAGTTTTGGTTATTCAGACTGTGTCTTGAAACATTTAAAATTTGTAGTTGTACATTGCAGGGCTGCATGATTATGTTGATAATCATTTAATTGAATAGAGTGCTGCTTTTACTCCCATGTCATGCTACATTTTACAAATCTAAGGTTTAAATCTCTACATCAAAATAAAAAAATAAGATTCTTCTTTACTTTAATGCAGTGCATCTCTAGAGGTAAAATATAAATGAAAATGCACCTAGAACACGTCACATGGTGAACATCTGCTCATTGATAGACACTTCCATTCATAGATGTTCCCTAAGTTACTGCAACAACTCAGACAGATGTGTAACCAAAAAAATACTTTGAAAAGAATGTAATAGGGCATTCTAATGTCAGATGTCCAGGTAATTTTAGGAAGCCAAAATTAGGATTGTGACTAATGTTTGATTAATTGTGCAGCCCCAATACAAGGTGTGTTTTTATCTAAGCTAACCACATCCCAATTTTGTCATTACTAATATGGTTAAAAAGGCAATAGATACTAACAGGTAATGTGAACTTGTACACCCCTTGCTGTAGGTGCCTTCGGGATGGAGAGCTGTTTGAAATCGTTATTCAGAAGATGGTGGACCGCTGGTCAGGTTCAATAGAAGCAGGTGAGACGATTGTCTGGTGTCGGATATAACATGCTTACTTTTTTCTCTCTCTCTTTCTCAGACTTTTGATGAAGCTATATTTCATGTGTTATCCCCACTGATTTCACCACTCTCCCTTCCATCCAGGTGTGACAGCCATCAGGCCAGAGGAGCTTGAGTTTCCAAACACCATGACTGATATTGATTATGACACCTGGATGCTAAGGTAGGGATGCTATGTGTGAATATGATGCCTCAAAGGATGCTTCACCATGTAAATTCTGCCATTTAAGCTCTTAAAACATGCTTTGATTTGTATTATTTGCACAGTACAAATCTTTTGACTCAACTCTACACACACCTATGAAGATGTCTGCTCCCCTTTATTCAGTTATTTATCTAATTTGACACAAAACATAATACAGTAGTGTAACCTACATTTGACCTATCCAAGACCTTTGCATCACAGATTGTTCAAATCCTCAATTCAGAACTGTTTTTTTTTTTTTTTTCCTACCAGTGGAACAGCCATCATGCAAGATGGCAACACAATGCGCAACAACTATGGCTGCGATCTGGACTCCCTGACCACAGGCTCGCGGATCGGCATGATGCGCTCAGCCAGCGGCGACCTCCACTATTATATCAATGGCGTGGATCAAGGCGTGGCCTGCTCCGGTCTGCCACCAGGTAGAGAATATTCCACAGTCTAAGCGCTTGACTTCAGCCAGAAGTTGTAAGGCAGAATAAAAGACGTGTGTATCTCCGTCTGTCTGTTTCAGAGGTGTATGCTGTTATCGACCTGTACGGTCAGTGCGTTCAGGTGTCCATCACCAGCTCCTCAGGTCCACTGGACAACAGTCTCTGTACCAGCAACATCACTGAGAAGAGCTTCCCCATCCACTCACCAGGTACACATCAGGGTCCTTAGACAGGTCTGGAAAACCTGCTAGAGCATGGAAAGTATGTTTCCAGGCAAAAAAGTTTTAAAATTGTAGAAATCTTCCGGTTTATGGAACTCTAAAATGCAGAAATGATTATCAGTGGATTTGCAGAAACATGAAAAGGAGTAAGGACAAAACTATCAGCCTCATCTTATGTTTTTTTTCTATTTTCTCTGTGTTTGCAGTAGCAGGTGTTGCCCATCGGCTCCACAGTAAACACGGCAAGAACGTGGTGCTGCTCGGTGAGGGTTGCCAGGCTGTCAGAGTCGGTGGTTACGCGCATGGCATTGTGTTCAGCGCAAAGGAGCTCAAAGCAGATGAGCTGTTTGAGGTACGCGAGCACTCAAAGCCAACACTTTACCAGAAGATGCTCTGGAAATGGACATGCCACAATGTAATGTTAGAAATAATGCAGACATTAGTTTCTCATAGTATCTGAATTTTAAGTGCTTGCATATTGTAGGAGTTAGAAATAACATAGGTTGTGTTGGCCTTGTTATGCGATTTCTTCTCTTTCCTGATCACCCTCTTCTCTCTTTTCTCGCTGCAGGTGAGGATTGATGAAGTGGATGAGCAGTGGTGCGGTTCGCTGCATATCGGTCTGACCACACTGGCACCTCCGGAGTTGCCGTCTTGCCCCCTGTCAGGTCTCTCCCCCTCCCTCCCACAGCTCCGCACCAAGGTCACCTGGCTGCTCTGCGGCTGCGAAGTCCGTCGCAACGGAGTGCTGCAGCGGCAGAACTATGGCTGCTCACTGGACCGGCTGATGGTGAGCTGCACTCCCTGCTCTCTGAGCTGTGAACCGAGCCTCAGAATAGAATAAAACCATACCGCTGCAGCTCTTCCTGAACGGCATTTTAGCTTTACAATCAATTCAAAGTGGTATGGATTGCACAGTTTGCACACAGTTAAACCTGTTAAAGGTTGAAATTGAAAACCCTAAACGCTGCTGTGATCACTGACAGGTTTTCTGTAGCTGCTTGACACTTAAGTCTTGCGATTTTCTTAGCCTCCCAGAGTAGCTTTGACAAATCTGTATTCACCTTTTTCACAAGTTGAAATTAAAAAATGTGTCTTGCTGTATGGCTTAGCTATATTTTATTCCTTCATACTCACCCCTTGTCTTTTTTGAGTCTGTTATGATGTAGAATTGCCATCACTTTACTTTTTTTTTTGTAGTAAAATGTTTGTTTTACAGAAAACTGGGAATGTAATTTACTTTTAAACAAAACACAATTTAAAAATTCCTGGTTGTCCATCATCGGCAGTTTGTAGCTATCTAGTCACTCTATATACAGTAAAACAACCGTACACATGACCTGAAACAGTGGACGTGAAGACTGAATTTGTGTTTCCAGGTTGGGAACCGTGTGGGTGTTAAGAGGTGCAATGATGACACCATGCACATCTTCATTGATGGAGAAGACATGGGACCTGCTGCTACCGCGGTAGCCAAGGTGCGTCCTCTCTCACAAATCAGCACAATACAAAGCTACCCACTTCATTGGTGCCATTAATCACCTCCTTCTTGCTTGTTGCAGAATGTGTATGCAGTTTTGGACCTGTACGGACGTATAACAGCGGTGTCCATCGTCAGCTCCTCACTGATGGAGGACATGGAGAGTGTCAAGGCGCCTTCGCTCTCCTCAGACAGCTGCAGTGAAGGAGAGGAGGACAGCACCCCTGTCAGAGAGGTAGGAGGCTAAATGAGGAAGATCACAAGCATTTTACTCCATTGATCAGCAAAATATCCAAAAGTTACATTTTTTAATCAACCATTATTCACCACATCAGTTTTATTTTGAAGACAACCTCCTCAAATTTCCGCCATTTGTTGTCTCCAGGTTGAGAGTGAGCCATGTGCACTGGTGCCCACGGTGATGGCCTTCCTGGAAAACCATGGCAAAAACATCCAGCTGTCCAACCAGAATCTGACAGCAGCCAGAGTGTCGAGCTACAACCAGGGCCTGCTGGTCACCGCCCAGCCGCTGGCTCGTCAGCAGCTGTTTCAGGTAACTTTGCTGTGCATGTCTTTATGTGATGCAGGTAGCTGTGTTTCAGGCTCATTTTATTAATTCACCTTTAAAAAAAATGTTGAGTGATTGCTGGTTTTCCTTTTATTTTCTTGGTATAAGTTATTTTATTACAAAACATTAAAAAAAAAAAAAAAAAAAGTGATAAGATGCTAATTTAGAGCGTGGGACTGTTCCAGTTTCAGATCGACCGTCTGAACCCATCATGGACGTCGTCGTTGTCGTTAGGAGTGATAGGCCACTCCCCCGACCGACTCAACTTCCCCTCCACAGCGTGCTGCCTGAAACGCTCCGCCTGGCTGCTGCAGCGAGACTCTGTCTTCCACAACTCCCTGAAGGTACACACTCTAAACACACACACGTCTGTCTGTTTCACTGAAGGTTATTGATTTCCGTCTTACACAACAAACAAAACTGAGTATGTTCTTACTTCCACAAGCTTCACTAGCTGATAGATCTTCTGCAATTCCTTCATTTTTTTTTTTTTTACTTCTTCCCCCCACCATCTCCAAACACCCCCACTTGCTTCACTATCTTGTCTTTTAACTCTCTGTGTATGTTTTTTTGTCTCCATCGTATTTCAGATATGTGAGAACTACGGTCCTAACCTAGATACTTGCCCTGAGGGGACGGTGTTAGGTCTGCTGGTGGACGCTAACAGCTGTCTCCACCTCTATGTCAACGGCATGGATCAGGGTGTGGCGGCGCAGGACATCCCTTCGCCCTGCTACCCATTCATCGACCTCTACGGCCAGTGTGAACAGGTACAAACACACACATAGAAACTCAATTCTGTTAACACACTGTGTCGGAGTCAGATTTAAGCAGTGCGTACATCCACTCTAATATATTTTTTATCTTAAAATGCATAAATTCTGCTTCATTTAGGCCTAGAATCCACATATTCTGTTGTTTTTAGATCCTTAACCCTTTATAGGACACTCCTTGAAATACTTGTAAAATGAAAATGTCAACCCTAGGGTGTTAATGAAGGATATTTCAAGATATTTTTACTTTTGTGACTTAAAAAAAATAATGTTGCAAATCAAGATTAATAAAGTTTCCATATATGGTAACTTGCCTGGTTTAAAAAAAGGGAATTTAAAATGAATAAAAGAAAAACTAACAAACTGCAAGAAACATTTATTTAGGAACATTTTAGTTTGAGGTAATGATACACAACCAGTACCAAAGTATTTATAAAGTGCTTGGTAAGTTCATTTAGTAACATTTTTCTTGGGGTAGTGGGATTAGTGGCACTAAAAATAAATCAAAGTGGAGTTCAATGCAAACCAGTAACAAAGTGTTTATAAAGTTTTTTTAGTGACATTTTTCACAAGGTAGTGATATTGGCACTAATATAAAAACTAAATCAAAGTGCACATGGTTCTTCAACCTCAAGGACAGGCACAGGGTGGACACAGTGAACGTCCAAGGAAGTTACCAAATATGGTCACTTGCCCCATAAAGGGCAAAAATAGAGACTTTCAGAAACACACTGCTGACCTCAATTTAGTTTTAAACCTATGGGGTTGTGCTTAAATGTCTACAGGCAAGGGATTCTGACCAGGCCTTACACTACAGTCATTCCTCCCTGATTTGTCACGTTCCTACCATGTAGCTGTCTTCCAGAAGAAAACGAAGACATCCGCCTTGACTACCAATGTATAGATATCGAATCAAGCCACAGGCGTTGCTTTTTTTTTTTCTCTCATGCTAGCAGCTGTTATGCAGGAAAGAGAATCTCTGGTCCTAGTTACTTATTGAATCACTGCTCTGCTCCTTCCAGTGGACATGAATGGCTATGCAATACACAAAGTGCTAGTATGTACCGAGAATATTTCTGAAACAGCATTAAAACGCTTGTGTAGATAGAGACTGTTTTCCTTTTAAAATAAAGAAAGGAAGTGGTTGTAAGAGAGAACAGCTTTCATTTACACAAAGATGGAAGCCAGCGGTGAGAGAAATAGAACTCTCCACATCCCCAGAAGTGTCACAATTAAGGCCAGTTTATACTTTACTAAGGCTCCAAAAGGGTTCCACGGGTTTGCCCTGTTGTTTTAGCTGCTACATTTTACAAAGGACCTTGAGATGCAGCTGGAAACTCTGAACCAAGCTCATCAGTGGATCTTCAGCCATTTTTTTTGTCATACCTGTCTAGATCTCATTTACTTCAAAACTAAGCTGTTACAATACTATAATTTAAAGCATGGGTAATATTGCGCTGATTAACGCTGTGTCACAATAACAGGTTACTATCGTGACAAACAACGTGCCAGCTGTGGGAGGAGAGAGTGGCGAGACCCGCTGTCAGGGCGACATGGAGAAGGCCGACATGGTTGACGGTAAGGATGGGGCTAATTTTCTGTTTTCATTTGATGGATTTGATGCCTTCAGAGTCCTTAATTTATTTATTTTTAAAATGCAGGAATCAAAGAGAGTGTGTGCTGGACGCCCCCTCCAGAGGTCAACCCCAACAAGACCTGTGAGTACCAGGCGCTGTGCTCACGCTTCAAGGAGCTGCTGACGTTACCTGGTAGGTCTTTGCTCATCTGTCGCTTTTCACCTTTTTAGCCGCGAACTTTAAATCTAAATTCGTGCATCTTGTCGTTTATTCAGATGGTTATTTCAATGAAGACGCTAAGTACAACCTGTGCTACTGTGAGTCCTGCCACAAGCTTCGGGGTGACGAGGCTTATTACAAAAGAGGAGAGCCACCCCGTGACTACGCCCTGCCCTTTGGCTGGTGCCGCTTCGCCCTCAGGTAAGAGAGAAGGCAACCTCGCAGCTAATACATGACAGATCAGTGTTGAGTCTAAACAGTGAACAGTTTAGAGGGATAAGAGGTACCACAGTGTCACCTGCAGGCATCTCTGTGTACTTTCACCTAAGAAAGAGTTCCTAAAATCTATGCTGAACATTGTTTTAATTGTACCATGTTGTATTGCGGGGCTGCAAGGTGAATCAGTGGTTGGCACTGTTGCCTCGCAGCAAGAAGGTCGCCGGTTTGCGTCACCTGAGATCTTTCTGCATGGGGTTTACATGTTCTCCCCGTGCAGCGTGGGTTCTCTCCAGGTTCTCCGGTTTCCTCCCACACAGTCCAAAAACATGTTGAGGTTAATTGGTGATTCTAAATTGTCCGTAGGTGTGAATGTGAGTGTGGTTGGTTGTCTCTCTCTAAGTGTAGCCCTGTGATAGACTGGTGACCTGTCCAGGGTGTCCCCTTCCTTCGCCCTAAGTCAGCTGGGATAGAGTCCAGCCCCCCACGACCCTAGTGAGGATTAAGGGATGGATGGATGGATGGATGGATGGATGGATGGATGGATGGATGGACGGACCAGAGAGAAAAGCAGTGGAGGTTTTTAGTGTCAGTGTATCAGAATTAGAATCAAATGTCAAAGAACTTCCTCAACCAATAGCCTGCCACGATCACAATCAATGATTGATTAATCTGTCATTTCATTAAGTGCAGTGGACTTTTTGTAACTTGGAAGAGTTTGAAGAACAGATATAATAAACACCAGGTTTACTGAATTATAAATGAAATAGCAAAAAACAATGACTTCATTCAAAATTAGTATTCAGCAATCAGCCCGACAAATACCAAAGTATTATACACAGCAAACGAGCTGCGGTCTTTCACTGTAAACAACTTGTAACATTAGTAATCTCTTCACGTCGGCTTTACATCAAAATAATCCTCGTGATCTACGTGACATATGTTAATGTTTGTCCAGCTGCTGCAAACAGCTGCTCAACTGACAGCATATATGAACACATGTCCACAAATACAAACTTTATCAGTCCATGAAGTCAGTCTGCATTTACCCAGGCCTTTGAAATGTGTTTAGACTTAGAGCAGATTGTCACCGATACACTTCATTACTTTAGTTTCTATGTTGTTGGACTCATGTAAAGAGGTCCTGCTGCTCCTGAACATTAGCGACTACAGCTGACTAGGGATGTCCTGAACAGGGAGCAATTTTTAACTGACCGTCACAAACCTAAGCGTGATTCTTTATTTACATCTGCTGTCGTGCACATATTGTCACTTCAGCAGTATCATTCAGTAATGGATTCATTTATAGACAGACTGAGTACAGACACGTGATTTTGGCCTCTAGGACAGCTGATACATATGGCACCGGGATATAAGAATGCTATCATAGTTGTAGTCACAACAGTGTTAAACAGCAAGCAGCTTCAGCAGATAATAAGTGACTTAGATCTGATCAGGAGCAAAAACAAATTTGACCCGGACATCTCCACTCCTGAAAGACACCCAGCTCCCGACCTGTGTTAAAAATCCTGGTTTAGTGTTTCCATGTGCCCCATGTTTGCCGGTTCGCATCCCAGTGAGGAGGATCTTTCTGCGTGGAGTTTGCATGTTCTCCCCACACAGCGTGGGTTCTCTCCGGTTTCTCCGGCTTCTTCCTACACAGTCCAAAAACATGTTGAGGTCAATTGGTGATTCTAAATTGTCTGTAGGTGGGAATGTGAGTGTGCTTGGTTGCCTGTCTCTAAGTGTAGCCCTGTGATAGACTCCAGCCCCCCGCGACCCTAGTGAGGATTAAGGTGTATAGATAATGGATGGATGGATGGATGTGCCCCATGTAGACACAGTTAGCCGTCGTTACACTGTCGGGAGGGGCGTTTGTTTTAAGTGACTTTTGCAGGCGGTTAGCAAACACATCTGTAGCTCCATCTCACCAACCAGTAAGAGGTACAACTGCAAATCTACAATACGTTCTCTGACATGCACATCCCTTATCTTTTACCTTATAGGTTAAGGTGTTTAACTGATAAAATGTTTTAACTATTGTTCAACTCAAATGTTCAATTATTAAGTTACATCAAGGGGACAAAAACCGCTGCTGACCTACAAGCTGTGTGTCCATTAATATGTCATCAACATTTGTTCAAGTGTGTCATTAAATGTCTGTGTCCTCTTTGTGCAGGATCAAGTCCCACTGTGAGGTTTCTAACGCATTGAAGAAGTGGCACATTGCGTACCACGGCACCAGTGTAGGAGCGCTGCGACGCACACTGGACCACAGCCAGCTCCTGCCTGGTACAACAACTGCTGATTCTTTTTTTTGATAAAACATACTGTGTTTAATGGGGATGTTTTTTTGTCTATGATGGAGCATTCTCCTACAAACACAAGGCCATTTGCTCCATCTGTAGACTCCCATGCAGTTAAGCTTATTCTGGTGCACCTGTAGAGCAACGCTGCTAAATTTCATGACTGACATTTTGTTGTTGCAGGGACGTCGTCCATCTTCTCCGTCTCGCCGGTGAAGGCGGAGGGGCCCAATGGCTACACCGAGCCGGAGGAAAACAGTGCTCCTGGCAGGGAGGTTCCCAGAGTGCGGCTCTCCCCCACCATGCGTTACTCTGGCTTGGAGATCTTTGCTCCCAAAGTGCAGTAAGTCCACCCTGCTTCACTAAATGACTGTATGTACAATCACACTGTTTTATGTTTTGTGCATTAAACTTTTTTTTTTTTTTTTCTCCGTGCAGATTTCGGGACCCCCGTTCTCATCGCTCCCACCAGGCTCAGGTGGGATTCCAGGTGTGTGTGCGTCCGGGCTCCTACAAGGTTGGACCTCAGACACTCGGCCACAGCGAGCCCCTGGATCCTCGCTTCAGCAACTCAGAAATCGAGTGGATAACCAAGGAGCAGGGCGGCACACTCCTTTACGGACTGCTCATTCGGGTCGAATGAACGGAGCAACGACGGAGGCATTCGGGTGGAAGTGGGGAGGGGCTCTGCGCGGCACTCCTCGTACTTTTAATAAACTGACAACCAAATCCAACCCCTGCCTTGAGCAAGAGACTCCTCTGGAATCCAGCTGTTCCTACTGTGGATTGTTGACAATTCAGCATTTTTGATTTTGTTTTTTTGTTTTTTGTTTTTTTTTCGTCAGTTTTTGGTTGTTTGCTCTCGGACTTTTTTATTGGCCGGGGGCTACGGCGGTTTCAAAGAACAGACACTGCCTGCACTTTATGTTTCGGACACTCGTGGGCGATTTTTAAACTAACTTCTCATCGACACGACATGTTTGTTCATTCGCTGAAGTTCTTTTTTTTTTGCCACATTTTTGTTCTTCCCATCCACTTATTTTCTTCCACTCTCACAAATAGCTACACTTTTTTTTTTTGGCACTTATTTTAACACCTTATCACCTTTGCTGTGGTTGGTGTTTCATTTTGGGAGGAGCTACTTCCTGCCAATCTGCACGTTAACGAAAAAAAAAAAAACAGAAACATGGGTCAAAAAAACAAAGAGTGACGATGTTTTCAGAAAAATATATATAGAAAAAAAAAAACAAGAGAGACACTTGAGAATGAACCCAAGAGTGTCATGTGATTGTGACTTCTGCAGAAGGAGGGGATTTTAAAACTGGAGGAGGGGGGGCAAAAAAAACAAAAAAGAAAAAAAGATGTTTACACATGCACCACTATATGTTGCTGTCCTCTTCATGTCTCTCCACATTAGCAGTCTGGCTTTTTTTTTTTTTTCTGTTCTGACCCAGCATCATTTCTGACTCCTCATCAAATGGAAAGTTTAAAATGTGGAGAAAACTGGAGCGTTAAGACAGAACATCGACTTCTGAAAGATCAAACTGCACCTTTTTTGGGAACTTAAAATAGTGCCAGATGATGAATGATTAATTATGTTCCAGCCTTACAACTTGTGTGTGTTACAAGTTATAGGATGCATCACTAAATATTTAAAAAGGGGGGGTGTGTGTGATATACAGGATGTACTGTTTTTGGCTACAGGAAGATTATTTGCTCTTACCTCTGTATAATAAATATGAAGCTACAGCTAGCGCCCAGATGGTTCCCACGGAAAAGTTCTTATTTTTTAACTCGCGACAGACTAGGACAAGCCACAGAGAGGTGACACCCATGCCTTATATTAACAATATTTTTTACTTTTACCAGGAACAAAAGGATGAAAACTAGCACCGAGCAGCGTGCAGCTACTTCCCGTTTCTATGGGGACCATCTGGCAATTTAAGCAGGCGGCTAGCTTAGCATAAGCTGGACACAAAAACACACCTGTCAGCACTTCTAAAATACAAATCAGCATGTTTTTTTTCCCTACTCTGGATGTAAACAGTTCACTGGTTGCATCCTGAGTGATTATTAAACAGGGAAGTGCTCATAATTTTGGCCAAAACACAGGAAGTAGTGCAACAATACTTGTGAAACTGTGACGAGTCCTTTTTAAACCTCTGTTTTTTGTATGAATTACTTAACTTAAATGATTGAGCTTTAGGAAAAGAGGCTTTTAACAGTCATGAAGTAAAAAGTATTTCCCCAACTGTTGTTTTTAAAGGTGGATACAAGTGGTTTTCCATATCACCCCGTCACCGTTTACGCCTCCACCCCCATCCATCCATCCATCCATCCATCTATACATCCGTCATGTCTCACACTGTTTACCCGGCAGGACCTCCCAACAGTCTGCAAGGAGTTAAGCATTAAGTTTAGCCATCCCTACTAGTGTTTACATGTGAATGTTATTAATTAGGGCTCGGCAGTTCTTTTACTCCCAATAATTGATTTACACTTGTCAAATGTTTATACGAGGGTTTTATCTGATCCGGAAAAAAAACATCCACGCGATTGATTGTATGTGAGCAGCTTTACATCGGTCTCAATCCTGTTGCCAATTTGCTAAATCTCCTGCGGAATTCAAAAACGAACAGAAGCTCAGTCACCGTGTAAGAGCAGCTGACTGATAGGCGATCTAACGGGGGTTTAGCAGAGAAGAAGAAGAAGAAGGAAAAAAAAAAAACAACTTCCAATGAAAAATGTGAAAAAGTACTATTATATGGGTTATTTACAGCCCAGTGCTGCTTTGTACATTTTAATTTGTATTTTTCTTTTTTGTTTTCTGTATGTTGCGTTGTATAGGCTGTTACATAACAAATCATATCTTCCTGATTTATAAAAAATACAAATAAACTGACTGACAGTATGCACACAAGACAGCTGATGTGTTTATTTCTTTGTTACCTGCTGGAAAAAAAAAAAACAGCGTGAAGAAAAGACCAAACCTGCTGGTGCTTTTGGTTGTTTTTTTGTTTTTTTTTTAAAATTTTTATTTAGAATAGGAAAAGAAAAAAAAGTCTGGTCACTGACATGTTATTGCAGTGTTGCATACTTACTCAATCACACCTTTTTCCCCCCAAAATGCTGTGGACTAATTACTTATTAAGGCCAATAGTGGATTTTTTTTTTTTACAGAAATAATGGCTGCTTCGAGGGCAGCTCCGTCCTGCCATTTAAAAACAAAACACACATAAAGTGATTTTCAAAAAAATGCAGAGACTCGGCAAAGAGAAGCTTTAAAACTAGACACGTGACTAGTTTGCTGCCCCACAAAGGTAACGATGCTCTAACTGTAGCCAAGTATGGTCACGTACCACTGACAGACAGATCTGTGGTTGTCAGGTTGCATAGTTGGCTTCGTTTACTCGTGTGTCTTCAAATGTAAAGAGTCATTTTTGCACTTTTAAGTTGGACCCTGAGTTTTTTTTTTTTTATCGTTCTGGTGTCTGCTAAATTGGAGCTGACCACTCTGGTGGTCCTGAGCTTGTCTTGGCCCTTCAGCCTCATTTAAGGGAATAGTCTTGACATTTTTTTGAGCTAGATGAGAAGATCAGAGTCGAAGAGAAACACCTGTCTGTAAATAATATTATGTGAACAAACCAAAAAGATTTGTGATAAGAGGATAAGTAAGTAACATCCATC